AAATACATCTCTATTGATAGAGGCCTTTTGGGGAAACTAAAAGTAAAGCGTGGAGCTGATGCTCAAAATGGACAATATCATACCATTGTGGAGATCCATATTCGTACCCGGATTTAGTTAAGTACCTGAAGGTCTGGTGGATGGAAAGTCCCTTGCATATAGTCTTGGCTGTAGACTCCACAGTTGTCTCCCTGATAATCGAGGTCATGCGATTGCAATTCCGTTCCGAGTAGAGAGAACATTCCACAGCTTTCGACCGACGATGCAGCGGGGTTCATCGATGCAGCAGGCAGATAGTTTGTCATGGTTGCTCCGACGAACGAGCACGACGGGGAAGAAGGGTTCAGTGGCATGTAGGATGTCATGGAAGACAAGCAATCATCAACGTAGATCGACGGTAGATCCTTGTCGAGGAGAGTTGCAACAGGAGGCATAGGACACTGCATAAGCCCCTCAGTCATGGGATCTACTAATGGTAGCTGGGACTGCACTTGAGGAACATCAAACTGGCCTGGATGGATGCTGCTGAGATATTGAGGGATTGAAAAGGAAGCTGATGGAGAGAAGTCTATGGAAGCAGAGATGTCATTGTCAAGTTCTTCTTGGGAATCAAAGATACTGTTGGCTGCTATGTTAGTTGTAGCGGCCGATGCGTTGTTAACAGGTATAAACGACGCAGCCGCCGTCGCAACGTTATTGCCATTACCATTGCCATTGTTATCTGTTTCTGGAGAATGAGACACATTGGTAACACATGATGAATTCTTGTCGTAACAACAATTTGAGGTAGAATTGAACTCGGAGTTCTGAAGCGTCTCCGAGAACAGCTCGGGGTCACAGAAATCAAACATTTGTGCATTGATTGGACTCGAGATTTCTTCCTGAGAAAGACACCATCAAAAGGCAACATCAACACCATGAACACATACCAAAACTACAAATAGAAACCATTTCAGAAACGAAACGGATCAAAACAAGAACAAGAGGGTGTTCTGATATAACAACCGATATGTTCTTAGGGATGACGATCGTGTAGAAATCGACGTTTGCTTCAAACAAGAAAGAAGCACGACTCTTCATATTAGAACCAGAAGATGAGAATTATAAAGCGCACACAAACACATGAAGTTACTCTTCAAAAGGAAGGAATGGTCTCTAATGCTGCATGTTTGTTGTGCAAAGTTGAAAATGATATGCATTTATGCTCGTGTGACGGAAAAGCAAGAAGCTAATGGAATACTAAATATGGTCGGATTAGTGGCAAATGTTCTAAGTTTGGACAAACAAAGAGAATTTAAAACCCACTTTCATTTTCTCTCTCATTTATCTTAAACACAAGGAACAAGAATCAAACCCCGGAAATGATATAACAAGAACATTTAAGCCACGCGAGGATTGTTGGGAGGGAGTCCCATGTCGACTAAGATCATGAGTTTATAAGTAAAGAATACATCTCCATCTGACGTCTCTTGAGGAAACCAAAGGCAAAGCCACGAGAGTTAATACTCAAAGTGGACAATATCATATCATTGTAGAGAATCATGATTCCTAATGTAGTATCATAGCAATGTACTTAAGTTGCTAGTCTCAAAGGTGTAGTTAAAAGTTACTCAAAGGTTGAATAAAGAGTGTACTTTGTTCGAGGCTCTAGAGAAAGGAGTCGAGTCTCGATTAAGAGGAGGTGGGAGGAGGTTTGAGGGCTACATAGGACCTCAGGGGAGGCTCTATGGTGTCATTTGTTTAAGGACTCCAAAAAAAGGAGTCGAGCATCGATTAAAGGGAGGCGGGAGGCGATTCGAGGGCTACATAGGGTCTTAGGGGAGGCTCTATGATGTACTGTTCGAGGGGAGAATGTTGGGAGGGAGTCCCACATTGGCTAATTAAATGGATGATCCAATGTATCTCTATTGATACGAGGCATATCAAAAAAACAAAAAACAAAACTACGAGAGCCAATATCATACTACTGTGGAGAGTCGTGATTCCCAACCACATGTTTCTCAAAGAAAGAAATAGTACCCATTTCTCAAGCACGAAGAACTAAAAAGGGCAGTTGGGAATTTTGTCATATACCTTATGGGCATTCATGAAAAAGGAGACGACGATCGAGGAAGCTGACTCGAACCCTCACGAATATCATACAAAAATAGATAAAAAAAGGGTAAGAAGATTACAATGGGGAGGATCTGCTCCGACACAGAGCGGCGGCCGGCGTCCTGTAACATGGCTGGAGTAGAATGAACCAAAAGGGGTTGTTTCTAAAATGCAAAAGAAGAGAAAAACAGTGGATTTTGGTGCATCAAAGAAGAAGTTTAAGTGAAATGGAAGAAGAAATACAAAGAACACAAAAAACAAATCTCCATGGGAAGCCAAACAGGATAAAACAGACACAGAGTTTTATAGTAAAAAACAAGGAGAAATGTCCTGTCTGTGTGCCTGTGTGTGATTTTTTTGGTTTCTAGAGAGAGAAAGTTAGAGAGAGAAGGAAAGTTGTTATTTTTCTAAGTGTAGGGATGTCCGTGCGCCGTCAGCCTGGCATTCAACGACTGGTCAACCCGATGGTCGCGGTGGGCCAATCTATATCTTGGTTTAACGTTGTAATTTTTACCTCCCATGACACGTGGACACCTTTTGTCTTACAAATATACTTTTAATTCTTTTAAACTAAATTCATATTTTGGTTTATATTTTAAACCAGTCAACTTTCTAAGGTCAAAACAATCTTGAAATAAATGTATTATTGTATTTTAATTTTATTAAAATAATGGAAGTCAATAGAAAATTCATCGCTCGAGTTGCTTTTTTGTTCTCTAATTCATGGACGAGACGTTTTGCTCGTAAAAATGTTCGTATTCTATACATTTGGTGTACTATTTTTTTTATGTTAAACTAACATTTTAACTCTATTTAAAAAATATATTAAACTAAAAAAAAAAATTCATAAATATCTTTACTATTATTTTTGGATTTAACCGGTTAATATTATGTTTAAAAAATATCATTGAATTTTCAAAAGGCTTTTAAAAATATGGTTTCAAAAATTTTATTAATACTCTTCAGCTTTTTTAAAAAATTTAAAAAAAGTTTTTAAACCTTTTTTAAAAGTTCAAAAATATTCTTTAACATTGGTACAGTGTTCCAAAAATACTCATTAATTTTCTAATAATATATAAAGTGTCGAGAGATGATTTTCGCTTATATATTAATACTAAATATTTTTTTTGAACTTTTTTTTTAACGTTAAGAGTGTTAATGTTATTTTGTTTAAAGTATTAATGGTAAAAATATTTTTTAAAATATATTAGTTTCATTCCAAACTATTTTTTTTTTTAATTTAAGATATTTTTTAAGATAAAGTACAAAATTCATGAGTATTTTAATTAATTTAACATTTTTTTGTATGAATTTAATAAGAAAATATCATAATTTTAATACAAAACTATTGTTGTCGCTAAATTCTTTAATAACTTTCAAACCTTAAAAAAATGAAATAACCTCCTCGACCAATGAGAATGAGACACTTGGCCATATATTATTGTTTTTTTTTAAATAAAAAAAAGTAGAAGATAAGATTTGATGTCTCAAAGGATGTCTAAAAGCAATCTTAATCACTTTATCATCTCAATTTTTATTTTTATTTTTTGGGAAATTTAATTACCATTATTGTGTTTGGTGAGTGGAAAGAGAACCTTGACTTTGGTTTGACAAACATGTGTGACATAAGATATGATTTGATTGAGAATATAAAATATATTCTATGCCTAATCTTTTTTATTTATTCAACTTTAACAATAATCCCAAGATCATATTTTATATTTCACAAAAATTGCATAAATGCGGTATTTATCCTACGCTACATAGGACAACAATTGTGCAGCTCTTATGCTAACCCAACAAACAAGTCAGTCATGTGTCGCAGAATATGATCGAGTTTTAAGTCATGTTTGAGAGAAACATTATAAAAAACGTGAGGAAGGAAATACGTTGAAAACAATATTATAGGCTAAGAACGAATAATCAACAACCACAACTTTGATAGAATATAACCCGAAAATAAAGAATTGACAACTAATCACATCTCGTTATAATACATTTTGGGTATTTTAGCTTGCGTAGGTGTTTAGATATAATTTTGGTGAGCAGTAGTCATGTAGTTATGGACAACACAAGCTGGACAACCTTGACCGAGACATCAAACATGCAGTCACAAGCAACACGCCTTGGTTAAGTATGACTATGACATGTAGCAATCATCATCAGTCCCTAAGAAAAAGGTTTCTAAATACATAACAAGTGGACTCATCATTTGAATCGAAAAATGCAAACACATGCAACATGAATCATGTCGTTCTTGGGCTCCCGTTCCTTTCATATGCTCGAGATGTGTACCACTTTCACACACAGAATCCACCCTACTCATACGAATTTCGCAACCACTAGGCCTCGTTGGTATCAATTTCATATGCACCGACCCTGAGGGACACTAAATGCATCATTATTCATACCTATATGAATCTCACACATATGAGGTCTCACACGTATAAAACATTATTCACAATATGTGACAGCAACATCAACATCGTAAACATTTCTTTTCATAAAAGATTTAGAACATATTCTAAGAACACTTCGATTATGGCTTAAACAACTATAAACTTATAACATAACCCAACGATGCCCAAATCTATTCACAACTATCGGTAAATACGTGTATAAACCCTCTCGTTCATAATTCCTTTCCTACTTAGATACCTATGGAACTCTCGAATTAACTTTAAATTAAGAGAACAAACTCCCTAACGTCATAACTTAATAGACATAACTCAAAATCAAGCAAAATCAAGATAACGACAAACTAGCTCGAAATTCTCGAGTAGATCTTCAAGCATTTTCCACATTTCGAGACGAAATTCCCTTCTAAAAGGGGAACCAATTGTTTCTAGTTAAAGTAAAAATAAATAAAGAGAGAAAGGGTAATGTTTGGAAGTGGTTCACTTTCCTAACTCAAATTCCTCCATGTTTTGAACCTTATGCTGTTTTGCAGTTCAGAGATATTGTTCCAATCCATAGATCTTAACGTACATTTCTAGCCTTTACTAAAGATGAAACATATTCCAAGCTTTGAATGGATCCATTTTCTGCTATTCAAAACTCAAGTCTTTTTACGATCGGTACCCGAGTTCTTCGATCACGTGCTCGTGTGCTCGTTTCCATAATGAAGATTAGAACCCGAACAGAGCGCCTACAAAGGCTGTCTCACTTTTTAAATGCCCCTATCATGTCAGCATTTGGTTTAGTAAGTTCTACATATTCTTGTTCTATTGCTCCCCTCCCTCCATCGTCGTCGTCCTTCCAGATAACGACGTCGGTACTTTAGGCAAAAGTAATTCAAGGCATCCGAAAATCGTATCAATGACCTAAATGAGCTGATAAGGCTTTCAAACTAATGAGAGAATCCCGTTTTGAAAAGCACGTTATTGAGGGGGAGGGGGACGATTTCTATCAGTATGCAAACAAGAGTACCAAAAAAAAGAAAACAGCAGATATTAGTTCGATACGATCAAGAACAGAGAGAGCTCTTACCTGTCTATCTGCTATTGGCGAGTGGTAAAGTAGTGAACTCAGTAAAGCAGCTTCGCTCTTGAACCTCGTAAACTATCAGTCCGCTTCACTCCTCCATTTCTGGAATTGTTTAACCTTTCTAGGCTTCTCTCTTGAAACTTCTTTCACTCGGTAAAGACGGATGCTAAGGCTAGCAAGTTGAACCGGATCATCGGATGCATACCTGCACTTTGTCTGCCTCGTCAAGGGAACCCGGATACTTCCCTTGTACAACCCATTGTTCTTCTTTTGACGATGAACTATTCCATTACAACAAGCTTCATTTTTTCACCGGGTTTCATTCGATTTGTAGTGGCTTGGATGACGGAGAACCCCATGAAAAGTTAGAATTCATACCGTGTACTTTCATTAACAATCTAGAGTTTACATCAGAAGAGGGCATCAAAACCCAATAAACATTAGTTCGATGAACACTCAACAAGAGACAATAATTGTTGATCTGATGAAGCAATGAATGATATTACACAAAGAAAGAAAGTTAAAAGACTTCTTTAAGAGATAGATAGTTTTTAATTCAATATTCAATAAAATTGTTGAAAGAACAAAAGGAAAAATGAAGAATATAATCACAAGTAATTAAATACGAGCACAAACTATAAAAAGAACCGTAAAACATCTTCAGGTTAAGTATCTCGATGCATGAGCGAAACCCCACAACTGCAAAAACCACAAAAGCTTATGTAAAAGCCATCACCTTCACTTTATATTACTAAACATATAGTATGACAAGGCATGTAACGGCCCAAGGCTACCGCTAGCCGATATTGTCCTCTTTGGGCTTCCCTTCAAGGCTTTAAAAGGGGTCTGCTAGGAAAAGGTTTCCACACCCTTATAAAGGGTGTTTCGTTCTCCTCCCCAACCAACGTGAGATATCGCAAGGCACGTGGAAAATAAAATGTCATACTACATCATGTAAAGCACACGATATCATGACAGGTGACTTATTGAGAATCGGTACCTTTCATCTGCTCAATGGGTAGATATTCAAGCTATGCAAGTTTGAGAAGTTAACTTACCTCGACATTTTTCAGCTCGAACTCTGGGTCGTGCGCCAAGCATAAGCTATCAAATGTGTCACATGGTCCACTACTTCCATTTAATCTTGTTACATGAAAGTAGACAACTTAGTAAAGTTTGCTGTATAACAAGAGTGGTAGGCAAAAGTTTGATGGAAAAAAACAGAGTGACTCACAAGTCATCGTCCAAACGCAAGGCAAAGCTACCACCGCCTCCGATTGCTAGTAAATCATTCAAGCAAATATAATAGTAGGGGTTAGCTCCTGCATCAGTGGAACAAACACAAATTTGTCAAATAACAGCGGAATAGAACCGTGGCCTCTTTACGGAGGTTGGCCGGGAAGAGATGGAGAGTCTTTCGATTTTGAAAAACAATGGAAGTACAAAAGTAAAAGCCGAAAACCAATGAGAGGAACAAAGAAAAGCTCCAATTGTGGAAAACTACAAGTGAACACTCCTTGGAAGTATGGAACTTTAAAAGAGACAAATATGACTATCAATATATCCCGAGTGAAGACGAGCTCCTTGTAAAAGGTAAAGCGACAGACATATCGATGGTTTCAAGAAGAAGCCCTCGAGCAAAGGAAAACAAGAAGAAATGTATGCTGCTTTTGTGGAAGAAAGGTAGAAAAACACGAGGAAACGAACAATGGAGACCATGAATTTCCTCGAGAAATTTCCTCATTGTATTCATACATACCGACTAACAAAGTAACACGTGCATAAATGAGGCAAACTAATATATTTCAAAAATTGAACAAAACACGCGCAACACATAGGACTGATATACTTAACAATATGACTGAGTTCCCCATCGAACACGCCAAAACAGAATATTTACCAGTTGCTCTAAAGAGCCTTGGATCGCCATATTTGGTTGTGAAAACAAATGTTTGGTTGGTTCCCTATCAAATAGAGACAATCATAAAAATTAGATCGAAGTTACAGTAAGAAGGGCGAAGAAATGCAGGCCGGTTTAGAAGCTAAAAGAACTTCTAAATGCCAATTTCCTTTACTTCCTCCAGTGTCAAAAGTCGTATGAATATGCAACCATTTTAAAGGGAATGGAGGGACAAGAAAAAGCTACCCACTTGATATTTTCGTTTGGGCGTAGGCTTCAAAGGGCATTCTAGAAGACCACCAAATATGGCGCCTCGTGTATCTCCGACAATCTAGATTAAATAACCACATTTTATCGCTTAAAAGTTGTATCATCAGTGAAACTCAAACAGTCATGGGGCGACATACCAGTAAACAAGGGCCAGAAAGATTGTGGCTATTGCGAATAAGAGTTTGAAGCGATATACCATGCTTCGTTGTACTGCCCTTCATTTGAAACGAAACGAACCAGATCACAGATCAAATATAAACAAAATACTTCATTTGATATAGCTCAAAGTTATAATATTTCTGCCGAACTACCTGTACAGTAAGATCCATTTGCACCCTTTCACAATGTTGGGTAGACAACATCCCAGGAATTCATACAAGTCGGCAGAGATAAAAGCGGATGTATCTGTGAGGTCTGATATCGGATTCCTTGGAGTGGGCTGCTCCATAGCTTCTTCAAATACTTTCGAACTACACGTGCTCCTTCCAAATGCCGGGTCATCATCGCGCTTACTATATATTTCTTCCGCCTTGCATCGTATAGTACATTCTAAACGGGTATCTGGGCCTTCCTCCTGGAAATCAATGTTTGCATCGCAAAACCGAACCGAGGGAGACTGAACTTCATTGGTGTCTTGGTGAGAATCGGTTGATTTAGATCCACGTATGGACGGGATTACTAAGGATAAATATGAAGACAGTGATTTTCTTCCTTTCGACTTTGGCCTGGCCTACATAACTAAAACCATGTCACAAGCCAATAGGTAAAGACATTCACAAATGAATCAATCAAAGAAAAGGAGATGAAACATTGAGATTGAAACCTCTACTCATATACAAGCTTTATAATCTCAAAATAATAGGGGTCAAGGTCAGCCAGTGAGACAATGGGGGATAAGCTTCATCGTCGAAAGGGAAACAACCCGGATCACCAACTAAGGCCCCTAAATGACCGCTCAGCAATCAAGCAGTTCTATAGCCTAATATTTGAGTGTGGGGAAAGTGAGGTAACTAAGCTTGAGCCATATACTTACAAAGTTACAATACAAAACTTCTGCCAAAAAAACTTCAAGTACTAAAAGATATATGCGAAATGTGAATCAAATACCATAAAATGAACCCTGAGGTCCTAAATACCTCAAACATAATTCCTCCGGTCAAACATCTTGTTTCCTATAAGTACTCGAACCAATAACCATATTAGTACAGAACAAGGTTAGGAACCACGAATCTCTACAATGGTATCATATTATCCACTTTGATTTTGGTTTCCCCAAAAGGCCTCATGCCAATGGAGATGTATTCCTTACTTATAAACCCATGATCAACTCTTTAATTAGCCGATGTGGGACTCCTCTCCCAACAGTTCTCAACAATCCTCCCCTCGAACAAAGTATACCAAAGAGCCTTTCCCTGAGGCCTATGAAGCCTTCGAACAACCTCCCCTTAATTGAGGCTCGACTCCTTTGGAGCCCTTGAACAAAGTACACCCTTTGTTCGGCACTTGAGAGTCACTTTGACTATACCTTCAAGACCCACAACTCCTTTATTCGACATTCGAGGATTCTATTGACATGGCTAAGTTAAGGGCATGACTCTGATAGGAACTACGAATCTCCACATTAGTATGATATTGTCCACTTTAAGCATAGACTCTCATGGCTTTGATTTTGGTTTCCCCAAGAGGCCTCATACCAATGGAGATTCATTCCTTACTTATAAACCCATAATCAACCCCTTAATTAAGGACTCCTCTCCCAACAATACTCAAATACTCAAACGTTAGCCCTACAAGAATTCATTAATCCCCTCACGGGGTCCCAAATATCCAAATACCCACAAAACCAATCACCAGCCAAACCATAAAATCACAAGACACACAATCTCTAACCAGCATTCAAAGCCTTCCAGCATATGAATCAAGCCAAAAACAATCATAAACAATCGCAAGAACCTGAGTATGAGAATCAGGCGCCGGTGGTTTAGGGGATCCCGAGGTAGTGAGATTAGAGAAGAGGCTGGAGAACCTCTCGGAGAGCTTGTCCTTGATAGCATACATCTGGGTCAATGAAGATCAAAACAAAAAAGGGAAACGAATAATCTTTCAAGCTGGGGTTGCTTGGACCTTCATGATTCTGTGTTCTTCAAACTTTGGGTTCCCCAGGATTGAAGAAATCAAAGAGAAAAGAAGGAAGCGAAGGGTGTCGGTGGAGGATAGAGACACTCACAGATGGGTGTTGCGATGAATCTCAGACGGCTGTAAGAAATTATGGAAAGAGAACGGTGGTGGGGTGATCTTCGACTACGAAATATATACATCGAAGCATAGTTATGAATTGGATTAGTTTAGAAGGAAATAGTTAATATTTTTCATCTCATCTTTAACTGTAAATATAATTATTTTGGGGATTAATGTGTTTAAGACCCAATTTTAGATATTAAAATTGTAAAAGCTTGCAAATTTTGAAATCTCATCTTTTTATATATCCATTATTATAAAATCTATTTTGAAATTAAAAAAAAGTGGTTGACTTTTTCAATAGAGAGGGTGGACATTTTTTTTATAAAAAAATATTAATTTATTTTTCCTAAAAAAGAATATAAAAAAATTTAAGGAAGATAGGGATATGTAGTCTCCTAGTACACAAAATGTCGGACGAAGCTAATCTTTTTACTGTTTTGATGGGCCAATAGGGCCCACTTAAATATGGGCCTACTTTGGGCCGGCTCTGAGCTGGCTGTTCGAGCATTCTCGACCAAAATAATATCTGGTGAAAATTGGAGATTTATTTCACGAACTCATGGTTTAGAGTTGATTGGATTGGTTTGGTGATCTGAGCAACTTGAATAGAGTTTACAACCACTTCGAATGAGTGGGCTTCTCCATCCTCATCCCCATTAAAATCTCAAAATTGGCTGATTTATTTTTTTAATATGACCCTATAATATAGTATTTATAGATTAAGTTTCGTGGGGAGGTGACAGGAGGTGAGTATATAGTCCAATCTCTGACCCCATTTCTATATCAGGAAAAAAAATGTTTTCGAAAAAAATACGCTTATACAGTAAGACATCCGCTCCTGAGCTGAAATCTCTACCATCCCAGGTTCCCGAAAAAGGGTAAATATAAATTGATTTATAAATTTAAATAAGCAATGAAGCAATCAAGGAAGATGAATGTGGATTTCTACAAATGTTTATAGATTCCTTTTGCCATTTAAACAATCCAAACACAAAAACTCCCATAATCAAACACCAAAAGTAAGTTCTCCCTCTCCAAGGAGACCATAAAACTCCATTATTTTAATGGCTTCACACAGTTTCACCATCTCAATAAAAAGAAAATGGCATTCCCAATTTCCCTCCACTTTTTCCTTCTCCCCAAGTTTCCGTTTCACAGCGCTTCCTCTCTCTGTCCCTTTGCGAGGACTGAATAGCAAAAAGATTCCCTTCTCTCCTCTCCCATCTGCACATTTTACAGAGAGGTATGGTTTGGTTTGAGGAATTGAACTGAGCCCTCCATTGTTCTTCAGATTAAACCAAAACCCATCTCTCAAATCCGACTGAATTCTTCAATGAAATCGAAATCTCCCCATGACTTGAGACATTAATGAACAAACCCCAGATGGGTTTTGAATCCTTTTTCATCATCATCTTCTTCCTCATTTCCCTCTCTTGTTTGGTTGAATCTGGTTCTGATTACACCACATTGATCTACAAGGGCTGCGCCAAGCAAGGATTCTCAGATCCAAATGGCGTTTATTCACAAGCTCTGGCTGCTTTGTTCGGCTCTTTAGTTTCACAATCCGCCAAAGGCTCCAAGTTCTTCAAAACCACCTCCGGCACCGCCCAAACCTCCATTACCGGCCTCTTCCAATGCCGAGGGGATCTCAGCAACTCCGATTGCTACAACTGTGTGAGCAAACTCCCTGAATTAGCCGATAGTCTCTGCGGCAAAACCATTGCAGGTAGAGTTCATCTCTCAGGCTGCTATTTGCTGTATGAGTTTCCTGGGTTTGCTCAGATATCAGGGTTTGAAATGCTGTATAAAACTTGTGGGGCTACGAACATTGCTGGAAGTGGGTTTGAAGAGAGGAGGGACACAGGGTTATCTGTGTTGGAGAATGGCGTGGTGAGTGGCCATGGATTCTACACTACTAACTATCAATCTCTGTATGTGTTGGCTCAATGTGAAGGAGATTTGGGGGATTCTGATTGTGGTGAGTGCGTGAAACATGCTGTGCAAAGAGCTCAGGTTGAATGTGGAAGCTCAATTTCAGGGCAAGTTTATTTGTATAAGTGCTTTATCAGTTATAGTTATTACCCAAATGGAGTTCCAAGGAGATCTTCATCATCTTCTTCTTCTTCTTCATCATATTCTTCATCTCCATCAGGTAAAACCCTCAAACTTTCAGTGAATAACAGTTTAGCTCACACACTAACACAGCCATGAACATTTTGGCACCTGGGTTAGATCTGAAATGCATCAAATTCAAACCAAAACACATGTTTTTGCAACTGATAGAGCTAATGAAGGAGCTAGTGTTCTTGTGTTCTTGATTTCTGAAAGTATATTGATATGAAAGGCTTAATTTGGTGTCAGGGATGGGGCAAAACACAGGGAAGACAGTGGCAGTGATATTAGGAGGGGCAGCAGGTGTGGGATTTATGGTAATTTGCTTGCTTTTCATCAGAGGTTTGAAGAAGAAACATGATGGTATGCATCAAGAACATGAGTTTGATGCAAATATCTGCCATTTTTGGTTCAAAAACTTCCATTGATTGATCGAGTTCATCTTCTATAATCTGCAGGACATTGATACAGAGGAAGAGTCGAAGTTTTTTTTGAAGTAAAAAATGGAAAGACAAAATCCAAATTGCTTTAGTTTTCTTTTGCTTTGTCTTATAAAGAGGATGGGAATTTTTTTGAGTCGACAAAGACTGTTCTTAGTACTGTGGTCTGAAAAGCTTGCTGATAAGAGGAAGGAATATCAGTGCATGGAAGGAAGGGAAGGTAACAAAAAGATAAAGGAAAAAGGAAATATCAGAACTGAATGAGACGGGAAGAATGTTTTTTTTTAAAAAAATATTTTTGTTATCTTATTGCTTTCTTTATAGCCATATGGGTGTTTGTCTCTTTTCTCCTCATAACTCAGATCTTTTTATGCTTTAAAATAACTGCCTTCTTCAAGAAGATTTCAAAGTCCATCTATTTATTATTTTTTTTTTTTGTGAAAATTTTAAAACAATTCATTCCCATTGGTTTTTGTTTGGTTAGCAATGGTAGCAGTGAGAGATCGAACAATCAACTTTTGTAATGATAACTGATGTCTTATTCAAAAAGTTAGGCTTGAATTGAATTGTTAGAGTTTTGATGAATTAATAGCTTGATTTCGAAATTTGACCTATTAAATATCAAAAGAAGCTTCCCGGGTGGTCAGGCATGTGAATCACCTACAACTATTGAAAAAAAAAAAAACCAATATGTCGGAGGAGAGTTTCGAATTCAACTCTTTTCGATGAAATGAGCTTTAACAAGTTGAGTTTTAGTGATTTAGCAGAAGAAACCATATGTTCTCATCAAGATCTTTATTCCCATCCTCTAAAAAGTAAAAAGAAACCAGAAACTCCTTAAAAAGATACAACTTGAGGACCTAAGGAGGCAAATATTGTTCTTAATGCACTTGATGTTCTTCAATAGTCTACAAGTGTACTGCTCAAAAACGCTATTCTCAAAGACATTCTCACAAGTTCAAAATTGAAACTAAAGAAAAGAAATCAGGCCACGTTTAGCAGAAACACAATTGGACGAGAAAACAGATACCTAAACAAAAGTAAATCCAGTCGATAATGCAACCAAATTGCTCCATTTCTGCACAAACTCTAGAGCAGAGACACAGAGGGATGCAAACTAGTAGACTAGAAATTGCACAAGGTAATAAAGAAAGGGAAACAAACAGAACTCTGTCTTCTGTTCAGTCAATGAACATTTATGGATTATCAGAGTTGAACAAAGAAATATGGTCCCATGTTCTGACAACCAGAGGTGCCATAATTTCAAAAGGCATTCAAAGACTTTCCAGATAAAACAACAAAATCATATACAGAAAGAAGCCTCCAACAGTGAGAACTAAGAAACATTTTAGGCAATGGAAGTGGCATTCAAAGACTATAAACTACAAAGGAATACAAACTATGCAAAGGGAAATACAAAAAAAACTTCCACTGCCAATAAGAGAAGCTACCAAGAGAGAGCAATACAAGTTAGGTGATCAAAGAACTTATCAGAAACGGTATCCTGTCCTCGAATATGGGAGGATTGTGTATCAGCCATGAATGCCATAAGAAGGGTAGAATGAAGCATCTCCATACAAAACTTTACTTTTCCCTGCCGAAAGGCTGATCTTTAGAACAACTTCCAAAAAAAGTAACCAAGTCCACCGTATGAGTTAAATGCCAATTCAAAGCCGCAAGGATTTGCTTCCAGAATAAATATGCAAAGGGCCAAGTGATGAAGAAATGATGCAAAGAAACATGGACTAAGTGGCAAACAAAGACTAAAAATGAAACAAACAAATAGGAAGGATGGGTTGTAGAGTACTCAGTATGGAGAGGAATTAAAAAGCTGTTCTGTTAATTTTAAGTTAACTTATAACAACAATAACTCAAATGGCCTATCCGAGGGAAAATAAAAACTCCAAGTTGCATAGTGAAAAGATATTAGCCCTGATAAAATGCAGTCATACTTAACAGTTAATTACCAAAGGCTAGGCACCTGAAATTAAGGCCATAAGAACATGATAAAACACCAAAATGGCTATTCAATCTGAAGCATCATTTTATAGATGAAGCATCTAACACGATTCATAACGACAATTCATGGAAGACGATGAGCGAAGCAAAACAATCAATACTAGAGCTTGAAAAAATGTCGGAGAAGAAGAAATTTTCAATTCTGGGCATCGAACAATTTCTCTCAAAAAGGAAACAATCATAATATAAGTTTACAAAAGCAATCCAGAGCTTTATGAGAAGAAGAAACTTGGAATTGATTCTGAATTCAATTCATATAACTTCGCAACATAACTCTTAACTCTCCAAAATCTCAATCGCCAACAACGTCACATCTAATCCGCAGTCACAAACAAAGGAACAAAGATACGACGACATTGTACGCAATCAAAATCCATCCTAAACCCATAAAAAACCCTAAATAGCAACAACATCATGGAGTACCCTTAACCTGAAGCCATCAAGTAGATCATCATTTAGGAGAGGCGGTGGCTGGAGCACCAAGTAAACTCGCCTGCTGCATCTCGAGCTCATTGAACTGCTGTTCGCGATCCATTTCAATGATGAGCGGCACCACCAAGATGAGAAAAGTCGTCCCTGCAATCCACGCAGCTTTACCGGTGCTACGAAGGAGCTTTTGGGAGACGAATGCGGCATCAGAAGCCGTACTTTTCGCCCGCTGGACGAGTTGGGAATCGGAGACAGACCGGGAAACCCTAGACAAGACGCCTAAATTATCATAACCATTAGTGACAGAAGGCCGCTTATTACCTCGAGACGCCATGAAAGGATACAGAAAAGGAACTTGAAGCAGTAGAAGGAAAAATTGACGCGATCCAATTGATAGAGATATTGATACCTTTTCACGGATGGAACCGAAAATAAAAATAAATAAATTAAAAAAAAAAAAAAAAAAGCTTAGGGTTTTGGATGTCTGAAAAAGCCCAGCCCATTATGGAGTAAAATAAAGCCCAATTTAACTAAGCCCATTTTGCTAAATAAAAATAATAATAAAAATTCTAAAAATTGTAATTACCATTAATCTTTAAAAACACCATTTTAAGACCAACCATAAATAAATAAATAAATAAATAAAAAAAGAAGGTGTAAAAATGGTCCGACAACTCCCGTGGCCAATCAAAACCCGCCACGTCAAAACAACCTCTGGAATTTTTCCCGAGAAAATTTCAGGGGAAAAGAAAAAAACTCAAGATTTCCCGAGAAAATTTCTTTGACCGATCAAAGAAACCAAATCCCGCATTCCTTTCGCCTCCCCTACCTTTTCTTTATTCTCCTCCAAACACAAAAGATTTCCCCAACAATTCCCAAAATCAAATGGGCCTTCCTTTGATTCAACCTTAAATGCCTTCTCCTCCTCCCTCCTCCCCATTGCCGGCGCCGTCCTGCCGGTCCCTCTCCTCTCCGTCCTCAATCTAACCTTTCTCCACCCGTCTCCAACCATGTCCATTCTCAACCCCTTTCAGCTTCTAGAGCTCAATGTCATCTCAGCTCAAGATTTGGCTCCCGTCTCCCGTTCCATGAGGACCTACGCCGTCGCCTGGGTTCACCCCGACCGGAAATTATCCACCCGAGTCGACACTCACGGCCACAACAACCCCACATGGAACGACAAGTTTGTATTCCGCGTCGACGATGAATTCTTGCACGCCGACACCTCCGCGGTAATGATCGAGATCTACGCTTTACATTGGTTTAAAGACATTCATGTCGGAACTGTTCGGATTCTTGTCGGGAATCTCATCCCCACTCAGCCGCGTCTCCACCAATTTAGTCAGCAGCCGCAAGTCGGAATGCGATTTGTGGCACTTCAAGCACGGCGGCCCTCTGGTCGGCCACAGGGGATTTTGAATATTGGGGTTGCTCTGCTTCATAGCTCGATGAGGAGCATGCCGTTGTATTCGCAATTGAGTACCTCGGCGATTGGGTACCGGGATCTAATGGGGGAGGAGGACGCTTTTCATAATAATCGCAGCCATGGGACTCCGACGGCGACGACGCTGCCGAAGATGAGAAGGTCGAAGAGCGATACGAGCTCCATGATGGGATCGGAGCTTCGTGGGTCGGAGATTATGGGGAAAACAACGAAATCGAAGGCGAGTTCTATGGTGGATGGATCGGAAATTTCTAAGACGAAGAAAAAGGGGCGATCGAAAGCGAGTTCGATGATCAGTGGATCGGTCGGAATTAAACGAAAAGAGAAATCGAAGAAGGCGAGTTCAATGCTTAGTGGGTCGGGGATTGAAGAAGCTTATAATAAGAAGAAAACAGAGAAACCGAATCCGTTCAATGTAGCGAATAATAAAGTCTACAAAATTGAGCCGCCGCCGTCGAGCAAAAAGGAAACCAAACCCAATTCCGGCTATGAAAAACCCATTTCGATTCTGGAATTCATCGATTCGCCGCGGATTCATCCTGGTCTAGAAACGCCCAATCCGAGGTATGATAAAATGCCGTACGCGACGCCGTTGAGGACTCCTCGGAGGCTGACAGGTGGCGGCGGTACTGCTAAAGGAACTCCGATGCACGAAACGCCGCGAAGAGCGACGCCATTGCAGGGGAGATCGTCCTTTACGAAGAATAACGAATTTACTTATACCACGCCGAGGAAATCGAATTTGGCCGGCGCGTTTTTTACGGAATCGGAGCTCGGTCCTTCGCCGTCGGAGGTGGCTGCGAAAATGGCGATGCAGAAAATTGATGATAATGCGAGCTCGACCGTTGATGGGGTGAGCGTGAATGAAAGCGTTGAGGGTTTACAGTCGAAGCTGGAGCGATGGCGGACGGAGCTCCCGCCGGTGTTTGATCGTGGTGAGTCGCCGAGCTTTCCGAAGAGTGAACCCCGACATAACCGTAGTCACAGCGACGGCGGTGGGTTGTTCTCCTGTTTTAGCAACATTTGCGGCTGCGAATGCTCCATCGTCTGCGGCGGATCACCAAAAACACCAAAGAAATCCGGCGGTAGCCGTGTTGGTCGGAGCCCATCGGCGGACAATGTGAGCTTCGTTTGAAAACGCGAAGAACATGAATTCTTTTCGGGTCGGGCTTAACCCGTGGACCTAAATGAAGTAACCCGAATCAAAATCAAACCAAAACGAACCGTTTTTCTTTATTAACGTGGGCAGGTGGTCAAAAGACAAATTTAACCCTAACAGGATAAAGGAGGAAACACAAAACAGAGACAGCCAGCCAGTGTCAATAATGTCAAACTACAATCCCTCATTCTTTCTCTCTACTTGTTTTTCCATTTTCCTTTTTTTTTTCTAATAATTCTTTTTTTTTTTTTTTACTTTAAATTGAAAAAAAAGGAAAGGAAATTTTTACTTCATTTTTCTATAAATGTAATTGGATTAATTTGTAAAATATTCTTATATTTATTTTTTATATGTGCTGTTGATTATTTTTTATTTATAGATTTTAATGTTTTTTAGATCCCATTAGAGCATTTAATTTGTTTAATTATATACTTATTTATAAAAAAATAAAAAAAAACTCTATTTTTTATGTTTTTTTTTTAAATAATTAGTATTGTTCAAATTTTTGTAATAAATACTTTTAAAAAAATGAAAATTTTATATCTTTATAAATTTGAATTAAAAAGTTATTTCTAATAAATAAATAAATCACACAAAATTTAGTTGATAAAGTTATTTCTAGTCTTTTAAGACGTTTTGCTCTCTCGAGAAAAATTATAAAATGTCACTCAACATAGAATTACTCTAAGGAAAACATAGAAGGCTAAAGCATTACGAAGTCTGATAGAGCATTACTAAGTAAGAAAGACACCGGAAGGGTAAAGCTAATCTCTAGTCAAGAACTACATTGACAGGTTTTCTTCTAGTATTCAAAGCTCCTGATTTGGGGGGCGTATATGATACCTAGGCTCCGTTACGAAAAAAAGGGATTCCCATAGGAGCAAATCTTGATGAATACAAATTTTGTTTAATTTTAGAGTTATTATGATTAAAATAGAACGTGAATCAGAAGAGCTTGAAGAAGGAACAAGGCTAAAATCGCTACAATATTTTACAGTCAGCGTCTTCTCGAGCAACTCGGGTTTCAACATCCATGATTATCAATCATCATCGAGTAGCTACGAACAATCGAACCATGGAAAATGTCATACTTCTTGATAGAACAAACTGAAGAACAGTATCAGATGAGTTCAAAGCAAGGAAGACGTACTCATTGAACAAAATCATCAGCTTTTGGCGTTTAGTTTCTCCAAGAGAATCTTGTTTAGAAGCCCTGGATTTGCTTTACCTTTGGATGCTTTCATCACCTGGCCAGCAAAAAAGCCTTGCAGCTTGGTTTTGCCACCACGGTACTGCTCTAGCTGATTTGGATTCTCTGCTAGTACTTTCTCCACCATTCTCTCTATCTCGGCCGGATCGGCGATCTGCCAGTACAAAATAGCCAGAAATGATCATTGTTTCGGTTAGTTATTTGTGTCGTATTGTCGTTATCAAGTAAACTGTATACTAGCTATCGACTGGCTTCATTCTTTTTCCTTTTCTATGAATAAGAAATGAGAACGACTTCGTTGGCGACTCCAAAGGGACGGGGAGTCCCTTCCCCAAAACCGAAAGGAGTTGCAAGAAGACCTTCCTATCTAAGTTGATGGTGTAAGTGGTGTAGTTACAAAAGAGTTTGTGTTGGCTACACCAATTAGAGGCTGTGAACAGTACAAAACTGTAACGATCCAAGCCCACCGCTAGCAGATATTGTCCTCTTTGGCCTTTTCCTTTCAAGCTTCCCCTCAAGGTTTTTAATACGCGTCTACTAAAAAGAGGTTTCCATACCCTTATAAAAATGTTTCGTTCTCCTCCCTAACCGATGTGGGATCTCACAATCCACCTTTTTTGGGGCCCAGCGACCTCATTGGTACTCGTTCCTATCTCCAATCAATGTGGGAACCCATAATCCACCCCTCCCCTTCGAGGCTCAGCGTCCTTACTAGCACACCACCTCATGTCCACCCCCTTCGAGGCTTAGCTTTCTCGCTAGCACATCGTTCGGTGTCCGACTCTAATACCATTTGTATCAGCACAAGCCCATCGATATTGCCCTCTTTGGGCTTCCCCTCAAGGTTTTTAAAATGCGTCTACTAGGGAGAGGTTTCCACACCCTTATAAAGAATACTTCGTTTTCCTCTCCAACCGATGTGGGATCTCACACCTGGAAAGATACGGTTAAAAGTCTAAAAAGCAACCAATTCCACTAATATTTAACATGGAGGATGCTTGAAAATAATTCACAATTGGACTTTAATAATAAACAACTTGCCTGAACCAAATCCTTTTCTTTAATCAGCCCATTTACAGTTCCACCTTTAGCTAGCAACTCGAAAAGGATCTATACAGCATAAGAAAAGAAAAGACATCAATAAAATGCAAACTGACAGAAGTCGACATTTAGACTATAACCAATCATTAATTTTACCTCTTTCCCGATCTTTCCACTAATGGTACCACCTTTTATGGAAGCTATCAATTCAGCAAGCTCTTCTGGAGTGAGCTTGATATCATTTATAGTTAGCTTCTCATTTTTCATGTAGGCTGCAATATCACCCATTATCCAGTTTGCAGCCAGCTTCACTTCAGCCCCCCTTGCAATAGTTGCATCAAAAAACTCAGCCACCTAGGACATCATGCAGCAAAAGTTCAAAACAGAGCAAGTGTATTCTACCAATTTATGCTAATCAATGGTTTAAAAAGAATCATGATTTGTACTTTGGCTTGTTTTTGTTGAGGATTGTTGGGAGGGAGTCCCACATTGGCTAATTTACGAAATGATCATGAGTTTATAAGGAATACATCTCCATTGATATGAGACCTTTTGGGGAAAGCCAAACCAAAGCCATGAGAGCTTAGGTTCAAAGTGGACAATATCATACCATTGTGGAGAGTCATGATTCCTAACATGGTATCAGAGTCATGCCCTTAACTTAGTCATGTCAATAGAATCCTCAAATGTCAAACAAAGGGTGAACTTTGTTCGAGTTGTTTAAGGACTCCAGAGAAGGAGTCGAGCCTCGATTAAGGGGAGGCTGTTCGATGGCTCCATAGGCCTCAGGGGAGGATTGTTGAAAATTGTTTGGAGGGAGTCCCACATTGACTAATTTAGGGAATGATCATGTGTTTATACGTAAGGAATACATCTCCATTGGTATGAGACCTTTTGAGAAAAGCCCAAAGCAAAGCCATGAGAGCTTATGCTAAAAGTGGACAATATCATACCATTGTAGAGAGTCATGATTTCTAACATGGTATCAAAGTCATGCCCTTAACTTAGTCATGTCAATAGAATCCTCAAATGTCGAACAAAGGGTGTACTTTGTTCGAGGACTCCAGAGGAGTCGAGCCTCGATTAAGGGGAAGTTGTTCGAGGGCTCCATAGGCCTTAGGGAGAGGCTCTATAGTATAGTATACTTTGTTCGAGGGGAGGATTGTTTGGAGGGAGTCCCACATTGGCTAATTTAGGGAATGATCATGGGTTTATACGTAAGGAATACATCTCTATTGGTATGATCTCTATTGGTATGAGGCCTTTTGGAGAAGCCCAGAGCAAGGCCATGAGAGCTTATGCTCAAAGTGGACAATATCATACCATTGTGGAGAGTTGTGATTCCTAACCGTCTTTCCTTCTAATTTTTAGAAATCAAGTACAAACAAGACAACTTATAGAACAGACCATGTTCGAGTAAGGTAATTCCTTCTAATTCATCTCAAACTTTTTTTGCCTCTAGTTGCGAAAATTTGCTTGTTTTTTAAGAATTTGTACAAGGGGTAATAAGTCTTATAAAAATTCTAAGAAACTCACACTAATGTCGTTTGCCAGGAAAAGCACATCCTGCATGCTCAGGCCCATACTCTCATATCTTCTACGCTTCATTTCTGGAAGTTCAGGCAAAGAATCACGGATATTATCAACATATTCTTTTGTGAGAATGACTTCGGGGAGATCAGGTTCTGGAAAATATCGATAATCAGAAAGTCCTTCCTTTTTCCTCATTGTAATTGTTTTCTAAGCAATAGTACACAGGTGAGCACATGAGTGGACAAGAATATAAAGAATAATTGTAAGTTATGACTGATGATCAATGGAGAATGTACAAAAACGTATGATAAACCTGAGCGCCTTCTTCCCAGAGTCTGGTTTCCTGTACAATTTGATCACTTTGGCCTTGACTATGGAGAAGCACTTGTCTTGAAATCTCAAAATCAATTGCTCTGCTCATGGATGAAAATGAGTTCAAGTTTTTTATCTCCACCTGCAAATCAATGTATGTTACTAAATATAGTATAAAACTGCACATTGCCATTAGTTGGTTCTTAGATGTACGAAAGAACATGAGCTTGATAGAAAATTCAAAGATCCTGCATTTCTCCTGCTCACCACTAAATTTATCTTGCCCACACATTTTGTAACGGCCCAAGCTCACCGCTAGCAGATATTGTCCTCTTTGAACTTTTCCCTTTCGAGCTTCCTCTCAAAGTTTTTAAAACGTGTTTGCTAGGGAGAGGTTTCCACACCCTTATAAAGAATGCTTCGTTCTCCTCCCCAACCGACGTGGGATCTCACACATTTGGTCTACCCTTCACAAATAGTCCCTCGTTCCCCACAATTGCTCGCCAGCTAACTATTATTTAGGAATCTTTGATCAATAGATCAACAAAAAAAACATGCATAATTCACAAACATATGTCAGATTTGTATGTGCTAGAATAATTGAATCAAGGTAGGTGGTCATTCGTTGTTGAATAGTTAAACTTCAACCACCCATCCAACTTAAATCATGAAACGCTTCCTTAGGTGCCTTCTAATTACTGGTCACAGCACAGAAACAATACTTGTAAGAGAACTAAGCTACCTTTGTTCCAAACTGTGACTGCCCAATAGGTCGAACCGACACATTCACATCGCACCGAAGGGAACCTTCTTGCATGTTTCCATTACTTACACCCAAATATCGAACCAACCTCTGTAACTCAGCAGCATACTCTGCAGCTTCAATCCCAGTTCTCATGTCAGGTTCAGAAACAATCTCAAGCAAGGGCACTCCTGCCCTGTTCAAGTCAACCTGCAAATAACTTAAACAATCAATATAGCAGCCAAGGACAAATAAAAGCACACCATAATGAACTCGATATATTGAAATTGACCATAAAATGGGATCGAAATACATGTTTGGCAAGATCATAGCTAAAATATGAGATAAGGGATGCAAAATTATTTCCTGAGAGTAGCTTCCACTTTCAGAGTGAAGCAGCTTTCCAGCATCCTCTTCCATGTGAACCCTGGTGATACCAAACCGCCTATGCCCCCCACCATACTCAATAGGAAGATCAAGGTCAATAAAACCGCCACTCGCAATTGGGATATCAAACTGAGATATTTGATAGCCCTTGGGAAGATCTGGGTAAAAGTACTGTTTCCTATCAAACTTTGAGTTGAAAGACAAACTGCAGTTTAGTGCAAGACCCAACTTCACTGCAAACTCAATCACTTTTGTGTTCAAAACAGGCAAGGCACCAGGAAGCCCCATGCAGATGGGGCAGATATTCGTGTTCGGTGAAACACCATAATTGTAAGGGCAGCTGCAGAAGGCCTTGGTGAGAGTGGAGAGCTGAACATGGGTTTCAATGCCAATAATAGCTTCATAATCCTTGGAGATTCTATCAATAATCTGTTTATCAAAATGTGGTGAAATTGCTATAGGCCTTTGCTTTTCTTGAGTTGCTGTTTGGGATTGAGAGGATTTCACAGAGAAATACAAAACTCTCCTCCTTTTTGTAAACAAAGCAGCAGGGTGAAGCAAGAAAGGTTGGGTCCGAATGCATCTCAATCCTACAAATGCCATTTCTGTAGTCTCTGATCTTCTTCTACCATCAATCGGTTACAAACACTGAAAAAATGCTTTGAGAATAAGATAAAGCAATGAAAATTGAAAAACAACTTTAAATTCACAATCTAAACAACTAACAGAGAGAGAGAGAAAACCAACATAAAACAGATAAGACATTAACAATTGACAGATAAGACATTAACAATTGACGATCAATTAACCGCTATAAAATATACAAAAAGAATCCAAACCTTTCTTGAACATAGGTGACAAGTAGAGATGGAAGAGATCGAACATGGGAATAAGCAAGCTTGCCATTTTTTTATTTTGATAGAGGGGGATGGAGAAAGTGGACAAAAGAGATTCGCATTTCCCAATCGAAAAGATGAGTTCCTTTTACGTCTCGCATTTCTCATCAAACAAATACAAAAAAAATCATCATATTGAAAACGTTACTAACACACCAAGCCCTTCCTTCGTAGAGCCGTGTATTGTGAGTGATCCGAACTTGCCTGGAGCGAGCCTCCCATAGAGGAAAGTGAAGTTGGTGAGCAGTATGATGGGCAACTATCTCCTCCAGTTCGGAGAGGACTCAACTCTTAGTCAGTATCCCCTTAGTTTTGGGGTGGACCCTAGGACATGGATTCTATATGAACCAATGAATCATGACAAGTTGTTACTACTAGCAATGATTTCCTTTTTCATTACTTCATTACTCCATCCTTTCAATATCCCTCTCCCTTGTTCTCAGTTACTCATCACGTGGCACTCCGTTCATATCTTTAAGTTCGATCATTTGATCATTGACAAGGTCATTTCTATTTCTAACCAAGACAGAAGAAAATTTAACAATGTAATGAAAAGTTATGAATTTATCTAATTATACAATCTATGGCAAAACATTACAAGCATATGCATCTCCTTGAGCAAAAAATAATTTGAATGCCAAACTCTTCTGCACCACAAATGAAGAAGTGTTCGTCATTGGGTGGATGAAAGCCATGGAACAATGGGATAGCAAACCAAGCTAACAAACCTTATCGAGAACGAGATGTGAGACGATTAACAGAGACGAAAGAAGATGAAAACGAACCTGAAGTTCATCGCCAACCACGCACATGTAGAAATGGACAGAATCAAAACGAGAACAGAAGAAGAAGAAAGTTTTAGACTAACCGAAATGAAAACCTGCCGCCGGCGAGACCAGATTCCGGCGTTGGCCACTCTCTCAGCTTACGGCTGACTGAAATTCAGAGGGAGCCACCCGTTATCCGTTTTATTGCTTGCGTTTTAGATAAAAGGGGGAAAAGGCTCAACTTTTCCCCATTGTTTTTGTAAAAATATATAAATAAATTGTAAAATTACAGCTGTAAAAATAAAATTAAAAAGAATTATCCAACCATCAAAATACCAAAATTATTTTTAGTTTTTAAAATCTTGAAATTTAAAATTATTTCTTTAAATTTATCTTCCTAAACAACATCAAAATTTATGAAAATTTCTAACTTTTTTCTATGAATTTATGATATATATATATATATATATTTTTTTTTTTTTGTATTTTATTTATTTATTTACTTATTATTATTATTTTTTTTAAAGTAGTTGCGGTGGTAGGAATCAGCGTAGTTTTCACTTGACATCAACGTTTAATCAAAGTAATTTAAGGCATTTATTTATTACAAGAAGAAAACAAGGCCGATGAGAAGAAAAGAGAGCAGTTGAGTATAATTTCATTGAAACTCAAATGCGTCTTCTCTAATCTGGAATTCAATTTCATAAGGAACATTTCGCTTGATTACCCACAAACTGATTTTTTGTTCCAGTTCATCAGCACGGACCCATCTTAATTTTGTAGATCATCGCCGTCATCTGCGGCGGAATTCTCTGGTGTTGCTTCCAAGTTCTGCGGCGGCGATGTGAATATCCATTGAGAGTATTTGTAGAAGAAGAAGAATATGGAGACCCAACAGTCAGGGAGGTTGAGATTCTCGTTTAGGAATGCGACCGTAGCTGTGTGCTTGTTGAACCTGGTGGCGGCTTTTCTTATGCTTCAGGGTTTCTTGTTTGCTGCCTCTTCCCGCAATAGATCCTCCTCAACAAATCCTAATTTGGGTTCGTTTCCTTCTCTTCATTGTTGTTCTTGGAATATCGTGGAGTGAAGAGCTTTTCTGATTTCTGCAAATTCATTGTGAAGTAATCTGAATATTTATTGGGGGGTTTATTTGAATTAGATGGGGGGTTTTCTTAGGTTTGATTTTTAGTGCATCAAACTGATTCTAATGAATGTTTGTGCCGCCGATCAGAGATGCTAGGGTGATATTTTGAACTGACTATGCTTGTTGGTGGATTGCTTAGATGAGGGCTTAGGTATCATGAACTACAAGAAAACAAAAAATTGCGTATATGAGTGTTGGGAATGGTTGGGAGGGAGTAAGGGGTGGATTGTGAGATCTCACATCGATTGGAGAAGGGAACGAATGTTAGCGAGAACGCTGGGTTCCGAAGGGGGGTTGATTGTGAGATCCCACATCGATTGGATAAGGGAACGAATGTTAGCGAGAACGCTAGGTTTTGATGGGGGGTGGATTGTGAGATCCCACATCGGTTAGGGAGGAGAACGAAGCATTCTTTGTAAGGGTGTGGAAACTTCTCCCTAACAGACGTGTTTTAAAACCTTGAGAGGAAGCCCCAGAAGGGAAAGTCCAAAGAGGACAATTTATGCTAGTATTAGGTTTGGGCCGTTACAAATGGTACTAGAGCCAAACACCGGGGGGGTGTGCTAACGAGGACATTGGCCCCAAAGGGGGTGATTATGAGATCTCACATTGGTTGGAGAGGAGAAGGAACGAAGCATTTCTTACAAGAGTGTGGAAACCTTTCCCTAGGAGGCGCATTTTAAAACCTTGATGGGAAGCTCGGAAGGGAAAGGCCAAAGAGGACAATATCTACTAGTAGTGGACTTCGGCTATTACAGTCACATTGGCTAATTAAGGGAGTGATCATGAGTTTATAAGTAAGGAATACATTTGGTCCTTAAACCTATTTAGCCAATTCCTAAGAATGATGGCCGTGATGGATTTGATGACAACGTCAACCGTTGTTTTGATTAACATTTATTACAGAGATCGCCTGCACCAATAGAGCGAAGATTTTGGGTGTGGGACATTGGGAGAGACATGCTATCAGTCACACCTCTCTACAATGGTAGGATATTATCCACTTTGAGCATAAGCTCTCATGGCTTTGCTTTTGGTTCCTCCAAAAGGCCTTATACCATGGAGATGTACTCCTTACCTATAAAACCATAAGCTCTCATGGCTTTGCTTTTGGTTTCTCCAAAAGACCTTATACCATGGAGATGTACTCCTTACCTATAAAACTATAAGCTCTTATGGCTTTTCTTTTGGTTTCTCCAAAAGCTTTCATACCGGTGAGATGTATTCCTTACTTATAAACCTGTGATCATTTCATTAATTAGCCAATGTAGGACTCCCTCCCAACCATTCCAACATGATTAAGCTTGAAGGGGATATATTGTTTGTCTAAATGTACTTATTAACTGAACTTTTCAATGGAAAAAAATTGTTGTCTGAATTGTTCGGCCCTCCTTTGTTTATGCTCTACACTTCTTGACAGTCACTTGGGTGATTAACTTAGATAATGGGTGAAATTTCATACTGCAGATCAACTGAAATATATCAGGGAATCAGAAGAGATTCGACTTGCCATGCAGCCATTGGAACTGATTAAAAGGGTAAGCGTCTCGAGTATACCCTATAACCCATCAAAGCATAAGACATAAGTCTCATGAGTAAATTTCAATCTCTCCCTTTGAGTGGCTTAAGATGTAGGTGAGTCAGATTCGACATGATAATTCAAAGGAAATAAAAACCGAACCGAACTGCGACAACGATGACTGAAAAATCGTCTATGCAAACTTTATGAATTGAATTAATGAATGGAGATGATTGGGTTTAACAAGTTTTTCTGTGAGATCCCACATCGGTTGGAGAGGAGAACGAAACATTCTTAATAAGAGTGTAGAAACCTCTCCCACGTGTTTTAAAAACCTTGAGGGAAGTCCGAAAGGAAAAGTCCAAAGAGGACAATATCGGCTAGTGGTGGGTTTGGGATTTTACAAATGATATCAGAGTCAGACACCGGGCGTTGTGCCAGTGAGGACGTTGGGCCCCGAAGAGGGGTGGATTGTGAGATCCCATATCAGTTGGAGAGGATAACAAATCATTATTTATAAGAATGAGGAAACTTCTCCCTAGTAGATGCGTTTTAAAATCTTTGTGGGCTTGGACGGTTACATTTTCAGCTTAGTTTACACCCGGATGTCTCTGCATATTTGGAATTTTCTTTTGCATTGATGTTTGAATTTCATTATTGTATTCAGGTAAGGGAAATTCAGCAGGAAGCATACTATGAAAGTGAAGATATACAAGAGAAAGACTCCAAGCAGAATGCTGCCATTGATCTTTCTAAGAGATTGAAAGACTTCCGTTCTCTCAATGATGCTTCCAACTTAAAAGGTACCATTTTTAGGCTCTGAAATCATCTCCCTCCCCAGCTCCACCCTCCACTGTAACAGCCAAAATCAGAACAACCGAATTGGTTCGGTTTCATTAAATCCATAATTTTGAGCTCAACAACATATGAAGCAGAGGGATTTGAGCCTCTTACTTCCCGGTCGACTAATTTCATAAAATATAGAATCAAACATTAGTATAACAGTTTAGTGTGATAGCTTTTTAAAACTCGAGTCGGTAGATTGTGAGATTCCACATCGGTTAGAGAGGGGAACGAAACATTCTTTATAAAGGTGTGGAAACCTCTCTCAGAACTTTGAGAGAAGCTTAGAAGAGAAAGCTGAAAGAGGGCAATATCTATTTGCAGTGGGCATGAGTTGTTACATGGATAGTTTTGCTGGTTTCAACCAATTTAGTCGATCTAATGATTCATTTTCGGTTATTTTTTTATTCTTCTTAAACGAATATGTCAAAGTTTTCAAAAGTGGGTATAGCTCAAATTCGTTTAAGTACATACTTTTGACTAAAGGATTAGAGGTTTGAATCTCCTACCTCACATGTGTTTGTGGATTTTGTTTTTAAAAAATAAAGTTGGGTTGACCTGTTTACACACGGACCACCGTCCCGTGCCTGAGCTAATATGATATGAACGATTTGTGAATGGTGACACAGCTTTGGAGGAATGGCGGAAAAGGAAGATGGAAAGAGCAAGAGTGCGAGAAATGGAGAAAAATGGGACACTGAGATCTCCGACTTCTAAATCTGTATGAATTTTACTTGTGTATGTGATTCTAAAGTGAAAAAGCTTCATACCCTTCTTCTTATACCGAATTAGATCGGGCTGTGTTCGGGTTCAAAGACAGAAGAGATAAGAAAGTCCTAATACATGTTTCATTACTTTAACCTCTGCTTGTTACAGGAATGTGTTAAAAAATAAAAAATTCAATAATAGTTATAATTTCACATAATATTCTAGACATACATTTATTTACTTAGTAAAGAATGAAATATATTTATATAATATAAACATATAATAAAAGTTAATTTTGAGATTTAGTTTTAATATATATATATAAGTGGGGTAGGGCCGGGATTCGGTAATTCTCAAACATCAACCATGTTTAGTTAATAGCAAATTTTCTTTCACTCCCTTCCTAAATCTCCATTATCTCCATTTAAACTAAAATTATGTAACCTGTTTGAGATGGGTTTTTTTTTTTTTTTTTTTTTTTTGGGAGAGATGAGATTCTTCTTGGAAGAGAGGAATTGTATTCGACACGGGCAAGATAACGTAGGACAATCATTCTTACTTAAAATGCCATTGCGGAAATAACCATTTGGGAGAGATGAGATTCTTCTTAGAAGGGAGGAAATGTATTCGACACAAGCAAGATAACATAGGACAAGGCAAGATAGCATAGGACAATCATTCTTACTTGAAGCGCCATAGCCGAAATAACCACAATACTTCAAATGAGTTTTATTAAAAAAGTATACGAAAATAATCAAAATTCGTAAAAAATATGATGAGCTCCCAACATGCAAGATAACATAGGACAATCATTCTTACTTGAAGCGCCATAGCGGAAATAACCACAATAAGTTTGATTAAAAAAATATACGAAAATACTTCAAATGAGTTTTATTAAAAAAGTATACGAAAATAATCAAAATTCGTAAAAAATATGATGAGCTCCCAACATGCAAGATAACATAGGACAATCATTCTTACTTGAAGCGCCATAGCGGAAATAACCACAATAAGTTTGATTAAAAAAATATACGAAAATAATCAAAATTCGTAAAAAATATGATGAGCTCCCAACGAGGATTGAACTCGTGACCTTTCGCTTACGAAGCGAACGCAATACCACTATGCTATGGAAGCCGTTGTTGAAATGGGTCAACTGAATACTTCTATTAATTATGAGTACTAAAGTCACATTTCGCTGAACCCAATACCAAATATGGTCACTTATTATTGCAAAGCATCTATGTATGATCTATGTTCCTTCCCAATGGGCGTAGGGGCTGCTGCTGCGGGTGAGCCTCCTAAGGGTGGTTTAGAACACATGGTTCTGTATCATATCAATGGGTTAGTTCTTCTAAGAACATAGTTTATGGTTGGGTTAGCTCCTTCAAAACCTTCAATGGGATCTTTCACATAGTAACAAAGTGTGTGGTTCAATACTCTTGCTAATACTTTTTCCCTACGGACAGAGATACAAGTTACCGTGTATAATTTTCCTGCAAAACTTCCATTTTGGAATCCATCAATGCTTCCTGCACATTACAAGGAATAATTGATTTACAACAAATGCATATGATTCACCTGCAGCAACTTAATAAATAAGAAAGGGGGAAAATGAATAAGTAAAGAAAAAGGAAATATCTGAAAACAAATATGCTTACCTACTAATATACTATGTCTGCTATCGTTAGATAATGAATATAAATTAGCGAAACTCACCCTTTACTGACTCTAGCCCACCACTAGCAGATATTGTTCTTTTTGGACTTCGTCTATCAGGGTTTTTAAAATGCATCTACTAAGGAGAGATTTTCACACCCTTTTAAAGAATGGTTCGTTCTCCTCCCAACTAATATGGGATCTCACACAACCAGTCTTAGGATGAGTTCAAATCTAAGAAGAAGTGATGAATGGAAAGTGGAACAGAGACCAAGTGAGAGATGAGACACAAATGCTGACGCTCCTTTGACACTCACTGAGAGAGGGATTGCTTCTTCAACAGTCTGAGGGAGAGACTTCATCGAGGAAAGTAAAAGAAATGAAGCTGGCACTTGATAAATGCCAAACTTAATTTGGGTTAGTTAGATGGATCCTTCTGTCAGTTTGGAGTTCAAAGAACATTCTAAGTAGATGGCTTCTTTAGCAGGAAATCCATCAATTCTCCACAATAACAACACTTCAAAGCTACCCTGAGTTCAAACGAGGGTAATAAAGAAGCCAAAATACATATAAAGAAAACCAACTAAGCTTATATCTTCAACGAGCTATTGCCTAATCTTCAAAGGCGTACACCGAGTAGCTAGTTTCCTTAAAATCAGTAGCAGAGGATAAGGCGTTGCCGTTCCAAGGATAATCGATTGCAATCCAAGAAAGAATATCAGAATTCAAAAATACGAAACACCATCACACCATTGATTAAACAACTCATGTCCTCAGAATCTAACAAAGCGCAAATAAAATCCACAAGAAACGAAGACAACAGTAAACCTCCTCCCGAAACAAAAGGAGCAGAAAAAGACGGCGCAAAAGAATCCGAAAGGCCGTTTTCTGCCATTAAAGAGGAAAAATAACAAGATTATACCTTCATCTGAGAAGAAGAAGCTACTTCCACTTCAGTATCTGGTGCAGCCATCGCCACTTCCAAGTCTTAACCTCTCTCTCTCCTTTCTCAGAAACTAGACACGCAGGAAAATTAGGGCAGGAAACCTGTATTACCAGTCGTGCCTACATTTTATACCTTTCTTCGACCTCCCGCCCGTGAAAAGTTTTTATTTATTATTTTTTTTTTCAATGAAGGTTAAAAATGTCTTTTCGCATCTCTGGATTTGAATTTGGGCTTGGGCCAGCGTAAGGCGGCGGCCCATTTGATCATTTGCAAGAAAGAGGCAAAATTAATTTACTAATAAATAAATTAAAAAAAAAAATCGCTAATATGACTTGAAAATACTTCAAATTATTAAGAGTTTACATAACTTTCTTTTACTCAGCGTCGTTATTATTATTTTTTTTATTAAATTTAAAAAAATATATCTCTAAATTACATTTAAGTCAATTTTTTTATTCAACATTTTAATAAATTTTTATTTCAAGAGTGGTTCTGAAGGTTAATATTTTAATTTATTTAAAAAAAAAACGATAATATTTTTTCTTTTAATATGTACGGATAAGAGAAGAAAAAAACAGCAAATAAATTAATTACGTACGAATTTATTTAATGGGGATATATGAGTCAATACCGTGTTGATAGCATGATCGAGTGGTTGACTGCTGATTGACCGTTGACCGACATAGCGTGGCCAGCTTTTTGGACGGTGCCCATAAGAAATCAGATTTTTTTAATTAAAAAATAGGAAAGATTCAATTTTATTGTTATTTACTTTTTTGCTAATTAATAATTTTAATAATATTTTAACATAAATTTAAATGTTATTAATATCGTCAAATTAAAATTAAATGATTTTGTCAAAACTCACAACTTATAACAAAATTTTATTTTATTTTTCTAATTTTTTTAATTGTACTTCTAAATACTAATTTTAATTAACAAATTTTTAGGATTATGTCTAATTAACACTAAACAATTTTAATATGTGTTTAATAAATTTTTAAATATAAGTTTTTTTGTTCAATATTTTTTTTATAATACCTTGGAAAATTTAATTAATTTAATTAATTAATTATGTCTAGTAAATTTGTAAAATTAAAACAAATTTAGAACAAAAACTAAGAGTTTAAAATTTGATTAAATGCTTCCAAATTTTAAAATATTATTAAACACAAAATTTTAAACAAAAAAAAAAAAAAACCATTTAAAATTTTGATTACCACTAAAAATTATAATTCAACTTACCTTTAAATTTGCCCACTATTTTATTTTAGTATAATCGTATTATTTTACATTGAAGTGACATTTTTAAGCTATTTATATTAAATATTTCTAATTTAGTATAATTTGTAAAAAAATAATACCAAAAAATGATTTTTTTTTTTAAATATATTTCAATAAAAATGTAGGAGGTTATTAGAAAATTATATATATATATATATATATATATATATATATATATATATTTAATGAATTGATTAAAAAAATTAATTCTAAAGGGACAATGTCCCTTGGAGAGGTCAAAGGAGTAAACATTAGTGGGGTTTGGCAATTTAATTTTAAATTACAAAAATTACTTCTTTTTTTTTTTTTTTTTCATCTCCTTTTTCCATGAAAGCGAAAGTTTGCTCGAAAGTTCCCTAAGAAATTATTAGGTTTCACAATTATTTTAATTTAATTTATGTTTGAAGAAAAAAAAATAAAAGAATAATATTATCTTCCCGTCAACCATATGAAAACGTCGCTCATAACTTTGAGTTTAGAAGAAATTACAAAAATAACTTATTAAATATATATTTAAAAAATATACTTTTCAAAATTATCATTAAAGTATAAATTACTTAGAATATTAGACAAGAAATAGACCTAAAACAACTTGACGTTCACGTGAATAAAATAAGGGTAGTTTTGAAATATTTATACAAGTTTAGAGGTAATGTTTTAAATTTGGTGAGTTTTCATCTTTTAGATCTTAATACCTAAGCTGCATGTCGAAACTCATCGAAATTCCGACTTTTGAGATTATGGCTTGAGACCCTATTCAGTCCTTTTCAAGCTTGTCTTTGACACTCGTGCCGCCTCATTCTCTCAAACTTTACGTATGTCACGACTTAGCTTCAATGCACTCCTCGATCACATCGTGACATTTCTCAATCTTGACACAAACGTAGCTAGATAAATGTCACTCTCTGTCTACTACTAATAATAAAATTATCTCATGATATTTGCTAACTTTTTACCCTCCTTGATAGTAATGGTCAACGACAAAGTCTTCCAAGATCCAATTCAGCCACCCCAAGTGATTTTTGTTATGAACCTAACTTTTAATTATTAATTTAATTTATTCAATACGAACAATATTTTTATTCAACGACCACTATTAAAAATTTCACAGCTAATTTATGTTCTTTTTTTTATACATTTATTCAGGTAAAAAAATAATAATAAACTTTTTTTTTTTAATATCGGTGGTCTAAAAAAAATCATTCAGCTCGATAATTATTTATTCCTTCCAAAATTTAAATTTAAATTCTAAATTAAATTGTAATTTAACTAAATTAAAATTAGTTTTATTTTATATAATAAAGTTTAAGGCTCATTTTAGCACCATAATATCTCATAATCTCAATCCTAATCAATGTAATAAAATATGTAAAAAAAAAAAATTAAAAAAAAATTATAGAATATCTTACTTTTAAATTAATTAAGGTAATTAAATGCTTAGCTGTTAATCAACTTCAACTTTTGTAAAGTTCTTTTATTTTATTTATTATTAGAGCATATCCCTTTGTTCTACCTTGTCCGTACCAAAAAGGTTATCAATTCAATAATATCCTTCTATATAAACATATATTATATACTTTGTCACATTGGATAAAGATATGATGATCTCAATTTCAATAATTTTATTATATGCTTCGGGTTTATGAGTTTCCTTTCCATACCAATATGATCATAGCTCAATAGTTATGACACGTAATTTTTGTAATGCCCAAGATTCAGAATTTGAATTTTTCACTTGATGTCCCCGACATTTCCCTACATGTAATTTTTGTAACCCCCAAGTTTCAAAATCTGGATTTTTCACTTGATGACCCTGACATTCCACTACGATATGATCACGTTACTTACTCCTTGCTTCTTGAGAGTAAAAACTATCTCTACAAATCAACGCGAGTCATTCCAGCTTGTTTTATCTTCACTTATATGTATCTTAAGAAAGCTCTTAATCATAAAGTTCTTATGATTGAGCTACTGAAAAAGGAATGTGCACTTTGTTGATATATACAGTGACTTTTAATTCTTTGAAGTTTTTTTTTAGTCATCTTATCTTCAGGATCATCGCTCTCATTCAGATGTAGTCTCGGTTCATTCATGTACCATTCCTTTACTCTCGAGATTCGATGTTCAAATCTTCATTCCACATCAACAACATATTTGAGAGATCGAAGCTTACAATTTACTTTTAGTTTTTGTAGGCGTTTTTAAAATCATGACATCATCAAATTAAACGAGTCGGTAAATATACGGTTATTATTTGATTAATTTTTGATGGATGGGGTGTAGAGCAAATAAATATTAAAATAGATATGGTTGGTGAAATTCCATAATGGAATGGCTTTGTGCATAACACGTTTGCTAGAAGACGATTTTGAAGCAATTCCAAAGCTATCTCTTTGGAATATTTTTTTAAGTAATTATTTCTTTTTTAATGAAATAAAATTTATTTTTTAATTGAAAGCTAAGCTAGAGACTCTTTAATAGAGTAGGGATTTTAATGTGGGGAGAGATATTTTAGAAGTTGGCAGCCAAAATTTCTTGAAATAAATTTCAAAAAATGAAAAAAAAAAAAAAATTATTTATAACGGGTAATTAACGTATAAAATTTGGATAATATAAATTGATGTGAGAATTTATTTGAAAAGCTGAAAATATAAATGACTTTAGTAATATCTTTCTAGATGAAATATATGGTAAGAATGATTTTAGTCCATTTGTTATCATGTCAATTTTCATCATTTATTTATAAATAATTTTCAGACCGTCGATGCTAGGAAGTGAGGGAGTCACTTGTTTGGTCTTACAGTGCACTCACTCCCGCTACGAGAAAGAAATGATGCCCCAGCTCGACTCAAGACCAAGACTCTTTACAACTTGCACCAGGTTGATCTAGTAATTAGGGGTCAGCCTGAAATTGATTGAAATGACGTCCCACAGCTCGACTCAAGACCAAAACTGTTTACAACTTGCATCAACCACTTGCATCAGGTTGATCTAGTAATTAGGGGTTCGTTCAGGCCGCTCAAATCATAATCGAAAAGTATTCTTAAAAAATCCAAAAAATGCATGCATAAAACTCTTTCTCACGGAGGGTAGGAGTAAGGAAAGGCAATGTGTCCAAATGATCTTAATTTTAATGTCTCAAAAAGCTGAAAATGGCATAAAAGAAAATATAGTATTTGAATGAGGATATAATGGAGATTGCACATCTCATCTCTCCTTTAATCAAACAGGTGGAGAAATCCCATTGGATACGCAATATTTTTCAAATTGAAAAGGTCATCCACTCACAATAATTAAATTATTATATTTTAATTACATCTTTTATTTTGGTTCAAGAAGAGGGGTTTACGTGGCCTAGAATCTCTTTTTCCTCCTATTAAAAATCCTCACTTTTCATTATTATTACAATTATTATTGGAAATTTTAAGTCACCTAATGCTTTGGCATCTCCAAGGTTTGTCCTTTCCCTATGAGTATCATTGCCAACGATTCTCCTTCTTAATATTTGGATGGATGTATTTTTTTCGGAACAGATATAACTGTCTCGTATCTACGAATCAGAGAGAACTTAATGGACTCAAAAATATAATAGCATATAAAAACAACATACTATCAAAAGGTAGCTCGAAATTGAAGCATGTAGGACGGGTATAGGCTAAATCAGCGCAAGTCGACAGAAGCTTAGCTGATTGATGAATCGTAGCTAAAAGAAAGATCTTAATGAAAGTTGCCTATTTTCTCATGTGACAAATTATTCTCAAGCTTGGTTGATGTTAAACAATGATAATCTGCACTGAACCATTTCAAATCTGGAAAAATCCTACTGGAGAGAATCTAAATATAATCTATTTACAAGGCAAAAGAACACTATGATAGTTAAAAATATGGAGAGAATCTATATATAATCTAGATGACTCCAAGCTCATCACTTTATAATATTTTTCCTAAAAGAATGATGGAAATCTAGTTAAAATAATCAAATGGGTCATCTTTTATAGAAGAAGAATAAGATTAGACAGTCCCAAAAAGAAGATGAAGTTTAAAAAAAAAGGGAAAAGAGCAATACACAATAAAATATTGATGAGGACATATATGCCATTATATAATATTGTTTCGAAAATGATGATGATCACTATAACTTGAACAGTAGACATGATCAGAAAAACTATGAAACCATGAGTGAGTATATAAATATGCAGCAGATATTAACTCAATATGCCATAGAAATCTGGAAGAGAGAGAGACAGAGAGAGAGCAAAAGTAAGGTTTTAGAAGATGATGATGATGATGGGTGAGCATTTTGGTTGGGGCAAAGTGGAGGAAGAAGGATGGAGGAAAGGGCCTTGGACTGCGGAAGAAGACAGGTTGCTGATTGAGTATGTGAGAGTTCATGGTGAAGGAAGATGGAACTCTGTGGCTCAACTTGCAGGTACGAACACATAAGCAAACAGCTCTCTCTAGTTTCGGGTCGGTTCTGTTCAAGTATTGGAGTGTTCTATTAGTCACTTTAAATTGAGCATTTGTTTCCCCTCATCACTTCTCCAAAATTCAGTATTCGATCCCCTGTTCTTCCATATCTTTTCTTCTTTGATTTGAGTCATCATTTGTCTTTTTCTTTCTTCCAACTTCTTCAACTTTTAGGCCAAACTTTTCCCTTTTTCTAATTCGTTTCTTTTTTTTTTTTGGTGCATTCAGGATTGAAAAGGAATGGGAAGAGTTGTAGGTTGAGATGGGTAAACTACCTGAGGCCAGACCTAAAGAGAGGGCAGATAACTCCACATGAAGAAAGCATAATTCTAGAGCTTCATGCTAGATGGGGGAACAGGTAATCCTCTCTTCTTTTTTGTCATGTTAAGGGGCCCAACGGACGTTTAACAAGAATTTTCGGGTTCGGTGTCATACTTGAAAATATGAAGTGTCCAAAATTATGTACAGCTAAAAAGAAATAACCCTTGTAAAAACTGTAGGTGGTCTACCATTGCTAGAAGCTTGCCTGGAAGAACTGATAATGAAATAAAGAACTATTGGAGGACCCATTTCAAGAAAAAGGTAAAGGTAACTTCTATCTGCAACGAAAGGCCCAACCCTCGATTTTTAAGAAAGCATCAATATCAACAGCAGCAGCAACAACAATATTGGGAGATCCTACGACGACAACAACAACATCGAGAACTCCTAAGACAGCAACAACTGAACCAACAACCTAATATGAAAACTGAACTAAGCAGCTCTAAGCCTCAAATAAGCCAAGAATCTTGTACTCCCATGATCAGTAACTACAATACCCAAATAACTGATCATCATGATCACCCAGGAAGCCTCTTGCTGTCAGTGCCTGAGGCAATTTCCATAGAGGACCAACAATTATGGGACGGATTCCTGTGGAATTTTGAGGATTTTCAAGGCAATCTCACACCAAATTCTGCATTTGGAAAAGCTAATATGCACGATCTAGTCACACCCTTTTGTTGAATTTTTTTGGTAGAGATTAATGATTTAACTTCATCAAGTTTTCATCGTAAAAGTGCTGGAGAGTAATCCAAATCTTAGCTAAAAATTTTATTTTGTGAACTTTTGTATGCAAATACAAGACAGGCTTAGTTATGAATCTTATCATGTATGCTTCTGGGTAATAAAAAGGGGAATTTTATTTGCTATGGTCCAAAAGTTTGTTTAAGACATTATTTTCTACAAGTTGTTTCTTTTTTATTGTTAAACAAAGTATAAAGTATATATGGAGTATGGAGATATGAATCTTCAATGAAAAATATAAATCAGTTAGATAATGCAAGTGATCTCGAGTGATAGAAAAAGCTGGCTAATCAACCCACTTCTATTGTTCGAACACAAGCACTTAGTCCTACATATCAGGATAAGCCTGATTCCTTAAATATTCATTGATATCTCAATTTTGATTATTGATTGGATTTCGAATACATCAGGGATAGCAAAATTTTCTATTGAGATAGAGCTCTACGAAGAGCTGATCCTAACAGCATAAAGTGTCTCTAGCTTGATCTGGATGGAATCAAAGAAAGAAACTTGTTCCATATGCAGTCTAAAAAGTATAAAAACTAATACCAAGTTGTCCGACAACTTAGGGATACATAAAACTCATGTCTTCAATGGAAACTTAGAAATATTGGTACTTTTACACCCACTTATTATTAGTTTATGTCATTGTCTGTCTTTCTATTCCTTATCCTTAGCACAAAAAAATGATGTCTTGTTTTATATTTATATTTTTAGTAAGATAACTTTTGTTTAGAATAATCAAAGGATAGATTCTTTGTAGTTAGTCTCGTGGTTTCATTTTACATTTATCATCTCTCTTTCTTTTCTACAGTAGGCTGTAAAGTTTTCAATTTTTTCCGATTAAGACATGATTATTTTCTTGGGTATTGATTCTTAAGTTGGGTCTGATACTTTTTTGGTTGTGTTCATAATTCTCGTGGTTGGATTTCAACATCTTGAACTGATCTGGAATGTTTGGTAGGTTGAATTTTGTGTGATTTATTAACTAATTTGTATGCAAGTTTTTAATTTCATGTTGAGGGCATTATCTCACCACTATTACAAGTTTAAGGTAATCTAAGGATTTGGAGTTTTATGGAATGGAAAATTTATGTATAAAATTGACTTGGAGTAAGTATGGGTAAAGATGAATTTTTCTCAAAAATAAAAGCAAAAGGATATGGATCGACTTGAAGTGTGCTCGCAGTAAAAGAAAAATCAATTTTTACTGACTAGACAAATTTATCAAATTTAACCTAAATAAAAGCACAGGAATTCAGACATTCATTCACTATTCTCATAGGAAGATTTAGAAGACTTCAAATATTCCAGTATAGCTTTGGTTAAAAATAAAATATTATTCAATCAGACTCAAATGTCTTAAAAACTGTGTATTTTTCATTTCCAACAGTTTCCCTAAAACACAAAATTGGCGTAAAAATATAGTCAGTCTACCCATCTCTGCTGAAAATTTTGATTTTCGCCTACAGATTACCAAAATCGGCATTTTTTTTTGTTCAAATTGTTTTTATAAGAAAAAAAAGAACTCTACTAAAAACTCTTTAACTTACTCAAGAACATCTTATCATAAGTTCTAATCAATTGTTAATGCACAGTTTACCAGAATGGCCAATCTTCTAAATCTTGCCTTTCATTTGTTTCCGTTTATTTCTTCGCTGATCACGCAAGCCTGCAAGAAAATAATTGCAATATAAGAACCTGAGAGTAGTTTTTCCTACAAGATCTTTAGAACTGAAAATATAAAGATGAAAATTTGAAAACCATCAAAAGTCGTAAAGATTTTAGTTGTGTACGTTTTTTCTCCTCTTTTTTCTTCCTCCTAAGGTTCTCCACTTTCTTCCGTTTATCAGCCATCTCTTTTGCATCCATATGTACCTGTCAAAACGGATGCTGAGTTGAAATTTTGCCCACGGAAAAAAACACTTCAACCGTAGAAAATGTTTCACATTACCTGTTGACCACCGGTTCGAAGTGCTTGAAGTGGTTCCATAAGATCTTGGCCAATAGCAGCCAACTTCCTCCTTTTGTTATCTCCCGTATTCTGAACAGTCCCGTTCTGCTTGACCATCTCTTCAAATTGATGTTGCAGAAGAGGTGAGACCCCAGCCTGATAAGGAATGAGAGAATCGCGATCAGTGTATAATATACCATAACAAGTTAGAAAACAAAAGCAGCTAACGACCAATGGCTGAAACCAGAAATTATTTGAACTTAGGGGCACCTATTGACTGTGAAACAGATACATTCCAAATACATTGGCACAGATAAAAACAGAAAAGAATATTTCAAAAAACCAATAAAACAGGATAATTCATGATCTGAATGTTTTATGATAAGTTGTTGTTTGCCCTGCAAAAACAGCGGTTATTTTCTTACTCCCACTTTCTTTCTTTACCTGGAAGAACTTTTTCCCTGGATGCGAAGTATCGTATCATATAACATATTACAACATTTCACAAAATGAAAATCCTTAATCCAGAAACTCGATGAAGGGCAAAAGGGAGAAAACTTAAGGACTGAACTTCTAACAATGCTAGCAGATACTTACTCCGGCCAAATAACGGTGTGAGAATGATTTCGGTTGCAGGGGGTGGGAAAGCAGCTTGTCGAGCTCCTGCAATTAGTAATGAAAATTTTTTAAAAAAGGAAAATATTATTGTTACTCAAGGTATTAACATATCTACCATATCACCAAATTTGAACTTATCCATTGCGGGTAATACCTCTTGCAATTTCTTTAACTGCATGGAGCCAAATTTCTTCTGCTTATGATTGTTTGCTCTCTCATCTTCACTGTCATCGTTATCCACTACTAATTCCACTAACTCTGCATTCCGCTCAAACCAGGTTCTTTTTGCCTTCTCCTAGAAATCAGAAACATAGTTTTAAATTCATAACGACCAAAAACTAAATAAGTGATACGTAATTCTAGGATTAGAACTATGATAATAAGCACAGAAAAATCAACAGCCAATTGACACCAATTAACACAGTAAGGAACAAGCAGAATGAAACTTAAAAGCGCCAAGACATAAATTTCCATATATCAATAAATAGGCATGAAATTATGTCAATGTTTACTTGAGAATCCTTCCGCATAATCTTGTCGATCTGGCGTGCAAGAGACATTCGTTTTAGAACCTCTGGCATGTATGAATTATCAACAGGAAATCGCTGGAAGCTTTCCTAACAGAACAAAAGCAAATGAAGCAAGTGTAAGGAGGATGGCCCAAAAGACATTACATCAATTCTTGTAATTATCTCTGGTCGTACTTTCTTTTGTATCTATTTCATACATCAATGAAATGGTTTTTGTTTCCTATCAAAAAGTATATACATCCAAAAAGGCTACAAAAAAAATTAAAGAAACCTCTTTCTTTTTTATGATGAATAAACAACTTTCATTGCGGAAAAAAAGGAAAGAATACAAGTGCACACAAAAAGAGAGCCACAAAAGAATGAGGTAAAAATAGGAAGGACCTCTAATCAAGTAAAATAACACCCTAAAAGATAATTTCAAAAAAGCTTTTCCACCAAACCTCACATAGAAACATTGAATCTAACTAGGGACCACATAGTGATAGCTACTATTTCTTTAAAATGTAAGTCAGGCAGAGAAAGGAAAGAAAACAAAGAAAATGATCGAGTAAATTTTTCAATGAAGATTTATTCCCAAATAACCCATGCCCGTAGAAACTAAAATTAAAAAACCACTGTAAATCTGCTACCTTAGAGAAAGATTTGCACAGAGTAGCAAATTTGGAAGTTTCATTGGCAGAGACCAATGCGATACTGCATCCATCAGCAGAAGCTCTGGCTGTTCTTCCACTTCTATGAACGTAAACCTAATGCCAAATAAAACATTTAGTAACACTTAGACAGAAGAAGTGTACAGTAAGTTGTGTCTTGCTAACCTCAGCTGAATGTGGTAGTTGATAGTGGACAACAGTTCGAACACCAGGAATATCAAGGCCTCTAGCTGCAACGTCAGTGGCAATCAGTATCCCATTTTCCCTTCCACGGAAACGATCGATTGCCTACGATAAACAAAAATAGAAGTCTCTGATACAACTAATTCAAAAAATTTATAACATGAAATCAATTATGTTTAATATTCAAAGGATACATTTAACCTGAAATTGTTAAGGGAAAAAAATCTTCCTTTTTGCATTAGCATTTATTTTCTTAAAAGAGGAAAACTAAGTTAATTTGGTCCAATGCTATTAGAGCTATAAAGTGAAATCACTTGGTTGAAATAAATAAAAGAATTTTTCCAGAGATTACAGTGTGGTGCAGGGTAAGTCCAAGACAATATTCTTTCTAGATCTTCGATTTATAGCTCTTCTTCCTCCACACAGTTTTATCACTATACTCTTTGTTTGATCATTTCCAATTGGAGTTTTTGTAGCTTCTTGAGAACTGCTACAGTAATTTCACTACTTTCAATGACACTTATTTCTTTTTCAATGAAATGATAGAAAATAAATTTTGGTAGTACAAGTTGTTGTCAAGTCAGCACCTCCACATATGGAAAAGTTTTATGTCAGATACTAGCTGGGTGTCTTCTAAATAGTAAAGCTAACCTTCAAGCGAGCTCGTTGCTGCCTTTGAGCATGAAGAGTCAAGACATTGATACCAACAATGCACAATAAAGCAGAAATATGACGTAGTGCAGCAATGGATGTGCAGAAGACAATTGTGCGGCCTTTTCCATAAACAGACAGAATGTAATACAAATAAGCATCCTTGTCTTCTTCCCTACATCTGCAAGTAGGTCATGATTCAGTAATGTTCCACATCCACTGGAGAACGATTAATCAATGCAGAGAAAACTCAAAAAGACAGCCACAACCATCATTGATGGTATGACATACCGAAAGCCTGATATAATTGCTGGCACAAAGAAATTATCAAATTGATGTAACTGTAATCTATCAAAAATTAGGAGGCAAAGATGATAAGGACCCAAGCGACTGATTATTATGCAGATCAGGCTTTCGGTATGTCATTATGGACATAAAGAGTTATAAGAGGTGGATATCAATACAAGGAAAACAATGCTATACACCACTGAGTACTGGGGAAAAGACAAAAACCAAGTCATGCAGATCATAATGCAATAGAGCTAAAATAAGATGTACAGACATGTACTACATGAAAAAAGGTTAGAAATGAGGGAAATATTTTAGCTGCCCTACTACATGAAAAACGGTGCAAAGGTTATCGGCTTTCCTCAACCACAAAACATCATTTATAGGGTGAATATAAGTCAGTTAGGGAACACTTTGAAAATTCCTTGTGCAAGTACATGATATAAATGAAATATACAATAGAAACAATAGAAGAGTTACAAAATGCTAGATATCAGATGAAAAGGCACATACTCTATAAATGATTCTTCAAGATTATTTGCCAAAACCGATGTGTTAGTCAGATTTATAATAGCAACATTAGGTCTAATCCCAGCTCTCTCAGACAGAGCTTCTATAGAATTCAAACCATCCATCCCTCCTGCTTGACTAGGTCTGGATGATCCACGCTTTAATTTCTTGCGAAAATCAGAAGACAGTGACAATGTTGCAGAAAACACAAGTGTTTGCCGTTTCTTTCTTTGAGAACTTGGAATGGTCGAAGAGTTTTCTGCATTTTGTGAATTTTCTGTAGAACAATTTGCCGCAGGGAGCATATCAATAATGGACTGCAACTCACGAAAGTGCCCATTTTCTATCATCCTATCAGCCTCATCCAGTACAAAGAAAGACAATGTCTGCAACTGAAACAGAAAATTTGAAGAGCGTCAACATTATCATCCTATTTATAACTTAGCCATTGACTAAGAAGCACATACATGGATACGACGCAACATGGACACAAGAACAAGTTGATTTCCAAAAAAGCAAGACACAAAACGATGGAAACATGTTAGTTTTTGTTTAAATAAATGTGTGTATTTTTTAGCTGTTAAGAATATTCAATACTTTTAATGTAAATTTCTACCTTTAAACATCAAAATAACAGCCATGCTATATATTAAAAAGATGATGATAAGATAACAATTAACAAGCAATATCTATAATATCCAATATCGAATAAGCTTTACACAAAAAACTACAACATTTAAAATATCCGTCCTACACAAGAACTTACAAGGATTTGAAACAAACAAGCAACTACATATTTTCCCCATCTTTGTCCTGTTCACCAGTGGTTGCTGGTGGTTGACGACAACCGACAATGGTCTCGGTTGTTGTCATTAATAAGCAGTTGTGAAGGTTTTTTTTTTTTTTTCTTTTTCATGGATGCGATATCGTGATGAGGGTTGGGAAAATGATGGAAAGAAACCCTAATATTTTGAGGTTTATACGTGTGGTCAGTTTGGCTTTAATTGTTGGGTATTTGGCTTTCTTTTGAATGGGCTTAAAAGACCTAAAACTTCGGAACATTTTAACATCACATGTCTTAGTCATGTTTGAGAATGTCCCTGCCGTGTGAAAAAATGGAGGAAAAAGAAAATTTTACATGCAAAACAGCATGTCGGAGCGTATCAATGACCAATACATGTTCAACACCGACACTTCAAAATTTTACAAGGGTTGGTGCTTTATAGGTCATTGGTTAACATCTTGAATAGAACCTGACTAACTGAGCAGTTTTACAACTATGCCTACTCCCTAGTTTACAAGTAGGTTTCATAGGTGCTCAACATATACAAGGCTAACAAAGAAGAGGAAATAATTGAGATAATTGCACAGGAAAGAAAAATAAGCAATTTAAACAGGAAAAGAAAACCACGCAAAGAAAATAATCCACAACATTATGGAGTTAAAGGCAACAGATTGATGAAGTTTGTTTGCAACAAAACGAATATGTTGATTAATGAGCTTAAATAATAGATGGAGTCAAAAAAGGTTGGCAAGATTAAAAAATTAGACTAATTCATTTTTATGATTGGAGAGTGAAGATATGGACAAGTTTAACCAGTATCATAAGGCGCTCACTTCAACAAGATGCCTTTCTCCTCCCGACATAAGTTCCCACAACCGCCCTGGCGTTCCAACTACAATCTCTGGCCTCATCCTTAAAAGTCTTTCCTGCTTTTCAGTGGACATCCCACCAACGATTGGAACCACCCTAATATTTGTACCCACTGCGACTGCCTTGAGATGATCGGTTACCTGATAATGAAGAACCAAAGAGAGGGAGTTAAACCCAAATTCAATAGATACAAAATTCCAAATGAAACAATTTGAACTCTGTGAGGTATTTTCCATTATGGATGGGTGAACGTTAAATTCATCATGCTACCAACACCAAAATAAAAATAAAACAAAATAGAATTAGATTTATAACATTAAAAGAACTTAAGAAGGTAGTTTTTTCTTTATAATCGGAGACAAAGGTTTCATGAATGAATGAATAGAAAGAAACGAAAGTGTTCAAAGGATACCAACTCAAAAAATGAGTGAAAGGAGAATAAAATAGAAACCACAGTGAGAACGGGATATACAGGCATTCCAGTTAATACAAACGTCATTACAACAATAATTAATAAACAAACAATAAAGAGAACGCTACTGTGAGACCTTGAACACCATTGTAAGGTAGACAGTTTTCTTAACCTCAAATTGTCATCCCTAGTGTTTCTTATCTTAATATCGTTGACCCTAGCATGTTTTGTCTCCCACTTGTTCCACAACAGACATATTTATTTAAGCGTCCAGCCATGTGCGAGTATCAAATAAAAAAATCACAACCACCTGAATAGCAAGTTCTCTAGTAGGAGTAATAATAAGAGCCCGTAGAAGACTTCTGCGAGCATATCTTCCTGCATCCACTCCCTCTTCTTCAGACTTCTTTCCAGACTTTTCCCGTTCGTCCAATAAACGTTGTAGGATTGGCAATCCAAAAGCTAGTGTTTTTCCAGATCCTGTCTCAGCAGCACCAACAACATCCTGTCACATGAGCAAAATTCAATGACAGGCAAAAGTATGATCCATTTTCCACCAGTGCAATGAAAGAAAGAAAACTAACCTTCCCCTGGTAAGCAGCAGCTGGAATACAAGCTTTCTGGATCGCTGTAGGTTCCTTAAACCCAAGTTTGTAGATCGATTTCATAAGCAAAGGGTGAAGTCTCAACTCATTCCATGCATAATATTCAGTTTCATCAACTGCATCCTTTTCAACTTCATCCTTGATTTCTTTATCTAAATGCAAATCAAATTATACGCAATGTGTAAATATAATAAAGTTCTGAACAGTCACTTACAATTCAACAATTGTTCATCTAATCAAAACAACAACAGTATTAAGTATAACTACATCTTATTCAGAAAATGTCGTTAATAAAAAATGAATAGGAAATGGCCATAATCCAAACAAAAGCAATGAAGAATACAAAAACATTCTTCTAATTTGGACTGGTAAACTAAAAGAGAGCAATGAGGCATCACCAACTGAATTTATTAGGATGCTTCAACAAGAGACTGTCTCAATGGCACAAAATCATTGAAAATAATCATGAAAGGGAGGAATGGGGTGGCATGCAAAAGAAGGAAGTTTGTGGAAGAAGTTTGAAGTGGTCTAAGCAAAAGAAAGCTAGGTGGAGAATAGAACTCTTTTCTGTCTAGGAGAATGAATGGTCGGGAATGGAAAACACTCATTCACCAACATGAGGATGAGTGTCAAAATTATATTGTACAAATATTTCTGTGTATTTGTTATTTATTTCCTTATTTATAATTAGCTCCTAATTGATAAATGATTGAAAGCTAGGTTTCTTCCTTGTACGTTATTAACTAAGACAAAGCACCAACCAAGGTGTTACTGGAGGGCACAATTCCCTCCAATGAAATTCCTTATGTGGAATATTAGGGGTTGGGATCATGGAGAAAATTGGTTCTTATCAGAATTACAAAGAAGAATTATAAAATTTATTTGGAATTCCACCCATATCGCTTAGGCCTCTCTTAATCCTAATAGATCTTCTTTAATGACCCATGGCCAAAATTCGGATTAGGATTAAAAATCCAGATTCGAAACGTGATGGCCCTAGAATTCCCCTGCAACACGGTCATGTTACTTGCTCCTCGCTTCTAAGAGTGAAGACTATCCCCACAGACCAACACAAATCCTTCTAACATGTTTTGTCCTCACTCACATGCATCTTAGGAAAATTGTATGATGTATGATGACGAGTGCCCCGTGGCCCCTTGCACGTGTCATAATTATGATTGTAATGTTGTACTATGCTATGTCATGTTATGCTATGCTATATGGTGTTATGTAATGTTTATAAGCTAAGCTACAAAGTAACATAACCATGTCGCAGGGGATGCCAGATTTTGAATCCTAATCCGAAACTAGGCATGGGTCGTTATAAAGGGTATCAGAGCAGTACTCTCCCAATAAGATATGGTTTAGGGACGAACCAATGCAAAAGCTTGTGAGCATTTGACAACCCAAATAAAAAAGGTGTATATAAATGAACCAAGATCATATCTGAATGAGAACGATCCTAAGGGTAGTATGGTTAAGAAAGGCTTAAAACAGTTGAAAGTCATTACATATACGAAGAAGGTGCACCTTCCTTTTTGGTGGTTCACTTGTAGGAACTCCATAGAAGCTTGGTTTGCTTGAAGCAATTCTATATTGGGTGACCTCTTGGGAATTTTCCTAAGATGCACGTGAGTGAGGAAAAGTATGCTAGAAGGACTCATGTTGGTCTGTGTGTATAGTTTTTCACTCTTAGAAGCGAGGAGTAAGTAACGCAACCATGTCACAGGAGATGCAGAGGAATACCAGGGCCATCAAGTGTCGAATCCTGGGCATGGGTCATTACAGCTTCAGGAAACATTCTCATATTATAGAGTGTCTTTTTTGCAAGAACTTCATGATTTGCAAGAGTCGTGGGAGATAATTTTAATGTAACAAGATGGTCCGGCGATAATCACATGGAATAAATGCCATGAAAAGCATGAGAACTTTTAATAAATTGATTGCCACCTGTCACCTCATGAACATTCCAATTTTCAGAATGGGAGATTCAAATGGTCAAGCTTTCTGAGAACCAGACTATGACTCTTCTAGACAGGTTTTAGATAACCAACGATTGCTTCTTGAAGTTTGGAATCGTCTGCTTCATTCGTTTGGTAAGAGTCACTTCAGACCAATATCTAATGCTATGGTTTTTTGGGGAGATCAAATGGGCACCAACCCCTATTTGGTTTGAAAACACGTGGGATCAACAAATTTCCTTTTTGCCGATCTTAGAAGATGGGTGGACACATCACCCTCTCTCAAGATCACTGGGCCATAGACGTGGTAAAACTAAAAATGTTCGAGGAGTTGCAGGGATAGAAAAAAACTTTAAAAAATTTCTCTCATCTCAATCTCCTTTCTTCTCAACTCCACCAATTGGTCCTTTCTACAGATCAGAGAGCAATGAAATGCACAATTAGAGAAAATATCAAAGCCATGAAATGCACATTGGCTGGAAATTGGTAGCTAGGCTGGCTGGAAATTGGTTGCTAGGCAAAAACTTAATCCATGATTTGAGCCTCTCCAACAAACCAAACAAAACCATAGCAGAGGTACAGATTCGCGAAACAAATAGTTGGGATTTGAATCTCAGAAGACTCCTCAAAGATGATGAAATTACTGAACGGTCCACCCTTGTACACATTTGATACACGGTGAGCATCAATGAGACACCGGATGCATGGATACAGCCCACAGATCCCTCTGGAAAACTCACTGTTAAATCACCAATGATGAATTTAGTCCATAGTTTGGGCACCAACGAGAATCCTCCATACACGACAATAAGGAAGGGATCCTATTCTAAAAAGATCAAAGCATCCCTTTGGAAACTTAGCCATGAAGCAATCAATATAGTTGATAGTATACAGGGAAGAATGTCATACACTACTGCAGCCCTCCAAGCGGGGGCTTTATATGCAGGGAAAGTTCAAAAACTCAATGCCTTCTTTTTGCTTACTCTCCAATTGTGCGGCTATACTGGAACTAAATGATAAATGTATTTGGCTGGGCTACAGGCATTCTGGAGAACACCATGGACTTTCTAGCGCTAATCCTTATGAGCATCCTTTCAAAGGAACAAAAGCAACTATATCGTTTGCAATGAACAGAGATTCTTTGGAAGGAATAATCAGGTTGATAAGCTTACCTCTTTTAATAGTTTTATGGAAATTGTGCTTTGCAATGCTCTTTATTGTTGTGAATGCTATCATAGTCGCTTGTTGGAGGTCTTTTTCGTAATCCACCTATGGTGGCTTGGGCTTTTCCTATCTTTTTTGTATAATACATTCATCAATGACAACAAATTATTTTATTGCTAAAAATGGTCAAATAACTAATGATTGAATTCTAACAAAGAGCACACAAATCTGTGTGACAGAAATATAATTTGCCTCCATGAAACACTACGTGACAAGTTCAATGATTAAATAAGAATAACAATGTTTCATGAATCAAATGCTTGTATAAAAACCAAGAATACTATGCTCCACAAAGTTTTATATGATAATAATACTAACCAATTCCATGATCCTTTGTTTCTTTTTTTTCCTTCTGCAGCTTCTTCTCCATCTCCAAATCATCACCGCCATCCAATTCATCTCCAACCTCTGTCTCGATCCCATCACCATCACTGCCACCTATAATTTCACCCACATCTTCCTCACTTGTTGGGGCTTCATTATTGACCTTGTTTTTCTTCTTTTTCTTTTTCTTCTTCTTCTCCTTCTTCCCTTTTTTGTTTGTTTCCATATTCATATTGTCCCCCTCTTCCTTATTCATGCTACCCTCACCATCTCCCGATGCACCCCCACAGCCATCAACATTGTCTTGCTCACCTTTCTTTGACTTTTTGCTGGCTGTTGATGTCAACTTCTGTTTCACTGTTTCAGGTTTTGGAATTGTCAGGCCATACTCAGCTTCGTCAATCTCCTCAAGCGAAAGAAAACCTGTAGTCCATTGAAATAAGCAAAACCATTACTAAAATGTTCAATCGAACATTTAAACCCCCATAAACATCAATTATCAATTAACACCAATATTATGTGTCACGCCAATAAAACAAGAATTCTATACACATCCTAATTATTTCTCAGCATTGTTGATAAACGAAACATAATTAAAACTACAAATAGAAGAACAACTTAACGAAATGAAGCAATGTGCTCAGAACATGTAACAACCAACAAACAATATCAGATACAGAAAAAAGCCACAAACCCAACAGAATTAATTTAGTATGACCACACGTGTAATATAAGCTTCTAAAGCAGAGCATACAAATAAGTTCAAACCTCCTTCGAGATCGTTGGATCCAATGAAAGCAGACAAGGCGTCGTCCCTCGGGATTGATGACTTCCATGAGAGTGAATCGAGACGGTCCAATTCTGGGTCTTTCTGGATTCTCTTCCTCTTTGGCCTTCTCTTTTGAGAAGATATCGACTGCATTGGGTCCTCAGCCATTTATGAACTCTCGAATACAGCCTACCACCCAAGTTTGGCTGCAAAACAAATTGCTCCTGCTAATGCTTGTTTCCTGGGAAAGAAAAGAGATTACAACTGCAGTCTCTGCGGAGGAAGTTGCTGCCATTTAGGAAAGAGTATAAATCTATTTAAAAGAGAATTGAATAATGCTATAGATTACTTCAAACCAAATTTCTGATAAATAAAGAAGTGAAATGCTGGAAAATCCACGGTCACACAAACAAGGTAATTCTCGGCTGAGACCAAAGAGATATGCAGATGATCAAAGCCTAAATTGATAGAAATAGGCAACAAATTAAAGCGGGGGATACACCTGTTGAATGATGAAAGTCCCACATCCGCTAATTTAGGGAATAATCATGGGCTAATAATCAAGGAATACTATCTCCATTGGTACGAGGCCTTTTGGGGAAGCCCAATGCAAAGCCATGAGATCTTATGCTCAAAGTGGACAATATCATACTATTATGGAGAGTCGTGTTCATCTAACATGGTATCAGAGCCATGCCAATAGATTGGTAAATCCTCAAATGTCAAAGGACTCCAAGAGAAAAGGCGGTAAAAAATGACTAAGACTCCAAAAGAAAAAGGAGCCGAGCCTTGATTAAGGGGAGACGTATTTTGTTCGAGGAGAGGTGTGAATGAAGAAAGTCACACATCAGCTAATTTAGGGAATAATCCTGCGTTTATAATCAAGGAATACTATCTCCATTGGTATAAGACCTTTTTGGTAAGCCCAAAGCAAAGTCATGAGAGCTTATGCTCAAAGTGTACAATATCATATACCATTCTAGAGAGTTGTGTTCGTCCAACAACACCCGCCATCCGAACCGCCAAAACACAAACCACGTCTCAATTTTTTGTCCCGGTTGCTAGTCGGTGTTGTTACTTAAAAAGGAAAAAAGAATATCCTAGTTTGTGCTTTTCAAGTGAAAAGAAAGCCATAGATAAGATTGGAAGAATACCAGTAACAATGGAGTATAAACTCAGTGCGAACCGCTAGGAGGGGCGCCGCAACGGCACGAGCGAAAGAAAGATGACGGCGGCGACAGCACTGAACGGGAAAAGGAGGCGACGATGACGCTGAGCTGCTGAAACGGAGGAGATCACGTGAAGAAGAAGAAGAAGAAGAAGAAGAAGAAGCAGTGGTATGGAGCACGTGAGAGAGTCGAAGATGAAAGAGTTAGGTTTTCCTCGTTCTTTTATTTATTTATTTATTTATTTATTTTACAAAGTGGGCTTGTTTTATATGTGTGTGTGAAGAACAATAATTAATTCTAAATAGTTCATTTTAAAAAAATGGCTAAAAAATATCAACAATTTAAAAAAAAAAATTGCTTAACATATAATTATTTTTATATATATAATTGTTTGGAATGCAATTTTTTAAGATTAAATATTTTAAAATAGATCAAATATTTTTAAAACTTTTATTAAAAATATAATTTAAATAAGCGCTTCTAACCTATCTAACCATAACCAAATGTTATAGTTGAGTTGGGTAGGATTCGTTACTTAATAAAATATGATTGGGTTAAAAAAATTTACAACCCAATAATTGATTTAAGTTTAAAAAACGGCTCAACCGAACCCATAAACATACCTAGTTCAACTAAAATAGAGTGTATTAATCAAAATAAAAGTAATAGACAATATGAGATCGTCGTTATATATGTTTGTAGTTACACTTGAACTACGTAGGAGAGTACGGATTAAAAAATATGTGCATATATGCTCTTGTATAAACTAATTTAAGTGATTTTTAATCCACGAACGTTATATGGTTAATTATGACAATTTGAGTGTTGCCGATTAGGTTACGAGTTGAATTTACAAAAAAAAAATTAGCATGTTATTATTGTAAAAAAAAAAAAACATGGTAAAGAACGAACAATTCTAAAAATTCAAAAAAAACAATAATTATACAACTTGTGATTCCACATAGATCAATCGAGAAAAAAAAAGGATCAAACGTCGAGTAATGAATGTTAGGGTTTGTCAAAGGATCAAATATCGACTAACGAGTGTTAGGGTTTGTCATTGTGCTACCATTTGAATTTCTCCGTTTTTAAAACATATATTAAAAGTAGAGCAAGTCTGACATTTAAAAAAAATGGAAGGTATTAATAAAAGAATTTAAAATTTAAGAGTATTTTTAAAAATATTATTCAAACAAAATATTTACCATTTTTGTTGATATTTTTGTATCATTGTGATTTAAAAATTTAAAGATATTATTTAAAAAAAAAAAAATGGTATATTTATTAATTTAGCAATTGTAATTTAAGGGAATAGCTAAATAAGTAAATAGAAAATGGTCAGAAAAAACACGGTGTCGATACATACGGTCTTTTAATAGTTGCATCTCGCATGTGCCTCATCATACGTTTTCGTTCCTCTTTCATTCGCGGCTTTGTCTACTGGAGCGGAAAAGGGTGTAATGAATAAGAGAATTGAATCTTGATTTGTGTTACATTTCTGTGGAAATTCGGGTATTATCTTCAATTTTTTCATTCTCGGCGGTTCTTTCGCCGTAATTGGTCTCTGTCGATCATCCAATCTACTAATTTCGACTTGGATTTGTCTGATCTTCATCTGATTTCTCAATTTCATTGATGTTTTGTGTAAGGAAATCCTCGTCATAGCCAACCCAGTTGCTTAATTTGCTTCATTTTGAAGTTTCGCGATCATCTGTTTGTGTTAATCGCACGATATATTCGTTAAGAGTTCGAATGTCAGGGAATTGGAACGCTTGTTTAACTCTGTCGAACTAGATTCTTTTAGAATTTGTGGACGATAACTAGAAATTTTGTACTCGATATGGGTTTTGATGGTTCGTAAATTTTCTCTGGTTCTTCATCCGCAAATTTCCGACTCAAAGGTTTATGGTTTTTATGTTTTTTTGCTAACTGATTTGGGTTATGATTCATGTTGCTAGATCATCTATCGTCTTTCCCCTTTCCACCCCTTTTCAAAATGCTTTGCAAGAGTAATTCAGATAAATTTAAATTGTCTATATTCAGACTCTTATAGGCTGGTTTACTTTCGTTTGTACTCCCATGGCTTGCTTTCCGTTTATCATTTTAAACACTCTCTTTTCAGTTTAAGACACACCATAAAAATGGTGGTGTCCAATTTGAAACTACGAGTTTTAGTTGTAGAATATTAGTTATTCTACTTCAAACTCTTTTAGATGGTGTACTGTTATAAGTAGTAATGTCATTATGAATGAGAGCAAGGATGGACGAATGTTCTAAAACTTGTTGATTTGGTGTATTCTTGCAGAGTTGATTTGGGTTGTTGAATCTGCACAGTGAATTTGTATAGAAAGGTTCTATTGAGTAAGAGTACGAAAGTCTGGTTCTTTAGAATCTGGTTGATCAATGGCAGCTCTTGTGCCTCCAGGGGCACTTCGGCCCAATGAAAGCAATAGCAATCAAGCTCCACCACCACCGGCTAATTACCACCCTAATTCTCAGCCAAATCCTGGTTCTTTAGCTGATAATTTTCAAAATATGAATCTCAATCGACCTCCTTCAATGCCCAATTCATTCCCTAGATCCCCATTTGGCCAATCACCAGCTTTTCCTTCGTCAGCACCCCCACCAACTGGAATATCTGGTGTCCCACCTCCATTTTCACGGCCAGGTCCACCGTCATCTTCAATTGCCCGACCTAATTTGCCTTCATCGGGGCCTCCACCATCTGCATTACCTCCCAACATGACTCCAATGAGACCTAGTGGGCCGCCTGTTGGACAACCGTCTCCATTAGTATCTAGGCCAACTCCTCCAGGTGTTGGGGCTACTGCCCAACCTGCTTATAGGCCACCTTCCAGTGGTTCAGTTATGCCTCCACTTGGTTCACGTCCAAGTGCAACCTTGCCCCCTTCTGTTAGCAACCCAAGCATGCCTCCACCAAGTGCTCAGGGTGGTGCATTGAGTAATGGCCCTCCAGCATTCGCGCAGACCAATTTTCCCAGTGGGCCACGTTTTCCTCCAGCAGCCAATGCACCACAAGGTCCTCCACCAATGGGAGCATCTGTTCAAACTCCATATATGCATTCTGTTCCAGGTGGCCCTGGATTTTTGCCTCCATCAGGTCCTCCCGGGCAAGCAGCACCACCATTTCCATTGGCAACTCAAGGAGTACCGCCACCTTCAGGTTCCCCATTTGGGCCGCCAACATGGCCAATGCAACCTGGTCAGGTAGCCGCCGTTCATTTTTTTATCTTGTTATTATGCAACGACCATATTGTGTTCTTTTTGTTAAAGCTATTGTGTGATGACCCACTTCTTATTAGTTTATTTTGGTAATGTGCATTTCATCAGTTGGAGTATTGTCGCTCTCTAAAATATCCAATGCAAGGAAGATTTATTCATTTTTTTTTTTCCGGATAGGAAACATATTTTATTTGATAAAATGAGACGTGCGTACAAAAAATGGCACAAAAGCCTCTAGCTTCTAAGGACGTTCTAGCATTTTCCAGAAATTTATAGGGATAAACCAATTCTTTGTGTAAATTAGTTATAGAATTGAGTAACGTCTAAAGAGTATATGCAAGTTAGCTTGATAATTTACATATAAAATATCTTACTCTTGCCTTTATGGGTTCATTTTCAAATTAAATAATGTAGATGAGAGTATCATGTATTATGAAGTATAAAGGCAGTTCTCACCGCC